GATCTTGGTTGTTACATGAAGTCTCTTCTCGGAGGTTCCTCATCACACAGCAAAGCTGATTGTTTGTTTTATCAGACAAAGGTGGTTTCCACATCACCGTTTTCCCTGGTGTGTTTTGAAATCTGCCAGCACACTTTGCCTGGTGCTGGCCTTTCGCCTCCTTGGCGCAGACTGCTTTCTGTCTGGGCCGCGGGCCTGGGGCGCTCCTGCAGGAGCGAGGCCACTCCGCGTGAGGGCCAGGCCTGTTCCTGAAGAGAATGGGCTCTGCTAGGACGGGCATGGGTTCTGCGGCCAGCATTAGGGTTCACAGGCCCCCGGCCTCTGAGGGGAGGACGTTTTGCTGAAAAGAATTGGTCATGAAGAAAGGAAACACGTTTGCCATATTGCCAAGGTTCTGGGGAAGGAGGTGAACAAGTTATTAAAGTGAAAGTAATCTTGCCAAAATGGAGTAAGATGCTTCAGTGTCTCCCCTCCCAATTCATTCATTTCATTTTCAATACTGGAGGACACTCTGTGGTCCTCACAATGTGGTTTAGAGAAGTAAATAAAGATGTGTGTCCATGAGAAACTAGCAACTTATTTTTGGAGCTTAAACACGTGACTTAGAAGTGGGTCTTTTGCTAGCAAGCGCGAGTGAAAATGCTGAGGGACAGACAGAGTCCCTGTGCTTTGGGGATGCGGATGCAGGGGCCGAGCTGAGCAGGTCCCCAGGAGAGGGGGGCCTAAGCTAAGTGCCAAGAAGAGAGAAGTGGACAACGCACAGAACTCCCAGCTCTGGGAGGTGGCCAGTGGGCTTGGCTGGCCAGAGTGGACGTGGCAGAGAAGGTATGGCCAGATGAACTCTGGACTGACGAGATAAGTTTTAATTATTTATTTATTTAAACAATAAACAGGTTGCACCATCTGGTTCTGCATCTTAGTGACTTTTTTTTAAGGATTTATTTATTTATTTGAAAGGCAGAGTTAGAGAGAGGCAGAGGCAGAGGCAGAGAGAGAGAGAGAGAGGGAGGGAGGTCTTCCATCTGCTGGTTCACTCCCCAAATGGCCGCAGTGGCTTCAGCTGGGCTGATCCGAAGCCAGGAGTCAGGAGCTTCATCCAGGTCTCTGATGCAGGTGCAGGGGCCCAAGGACTTGGGCCGTCCTCTGCTGCTTTCCCAGGCTCATTATCAGGGAGCTGCATCGGAACACAAACCAGCGCAGGTATGGGATGCCAGCACTGCATGTGGTGGTCAAACCTCTACACCGCAGTGCGCAGCCCTCCTGGTGATTTTTTGAGTAGAGTAATGTAAGGTGCTTAAGTGCTCTGGTGTGGACCTTGGCGATGCGTCTCCTCCAGTGGCTCTCAAGACTGTTGAAAAAATTCTCTCCCCCCTTCCTTCTTCCCTTCCTTCCTCCCTCCCTTTGTGTGTGTGTGTGTGTGTGTGTGTGTGTGTGTGTGAGAGAGAGAGAGAGAGAGAGAGAGAGAGAGAGAGAGAGAGGAAGAAGCAGAAAGCAAGAAATCTTCTATCTGCTGGTTCATTCCCCCAGTGATTGCAACAGAGGGACTGGACAGAGCGAAGTCAGGAGCTGGATACTCCAGCCAGGCCTCCTGCAGCGTGGCGGGGCCCACGTACTTGGGGTGTGACTCCCAGCTTTCCAGGCACATTAGAAGGGAGCTGCAGCAGAAACAGAGTCTTCAGAATGTATACGGGGCTGCATCTGGGATGCAGCTTAACCTGCCGCCACCATTCTAGCTCATCCCAGGACTCCTGAAGGGTTCCGATGCTCCCTGGGGTGGCAGAGCCCTGAGTGGTTTCAGGCAGAGAGGTCTGTGGGTGATCCCTACCCGAGCCAGCAGCCAGGGCTCATGTCCACTGGGGTTAGAGGTGAAGTCGGGCTCCAGGCCACCATGCTTGCTTCTCAGAAATGAGTTGTGTGTTTTCCCTGACAATGAACACATCCACGCTCCGGGCAGTGCTGGTCCACGGGGACAGAGGGCATGTTGGCCTTGGCACACTCCATACAATGCTGGACGTCCCCCAGCAGCCAGCAGGTTGCTGCCACAGTGACCCCTCTGGTTTTCCAGAGCTGACCCGAGGACTCAGAGCGGCCTTGCCTGAGGGACGTCCCCAGGGGTCCGTTCTGTCACCTGCCCAGAACTGCTTGTAGGGGAGGAGCAGCCGGGCTGCTGACCGGAGGTGAGCCCTCTGCAGCCAGTTCGCTCTGCGCAGAGCTGCGGTCCAGAGGTCGGGGGCCGGGGCAGGGACTGAGTGAGCGACAGGGAGAGGGTGAGCCCCCTGTCCACCCACGTCTGCTTGCTCGTTCTCAGCTCTCTTCCTCTTCCCTCGGCCGCGTCTCTGGTGCAGCATTTGCGTCCTCTGCTCCAGGCATCCTGGACCTGGGCGCAGGTGCACACTCTGCCGCGCAGGTTAGAACCCAGCGGTCGTGCTGTGCAAACTTCGTGGCAGGAGCCAGGACTTTTTCTCCACCTTGGGCTGTGGTGTGCCTCAGATTCTGGGCACCCTGGGGGTGATGTAGATTAGAGAGCAACTGAGGGGGGCTCATGAGGTGTGTGTATGTGTGTGTGCGCGCCCGCGCTCCTGTTTGGGAGTGGGTAGAGGAGGGAGAGCTGGGAGAGGTGTGAGGGCCAGGCTGTTGCTGGTGGGCAGGTGTGAGCAGAACGAGCCCAGGCGGGGCAGCATGCCTGCCCACATGAGCAGCGGTGGGGCACGGCCCAAGAGCAGCTCTGGTCTGTTGATGCCCGGGCAAGGCTAGTGCTGGCAGTGGTCTAAAGAGACTGGTGGGAGGAGGGCACAGGCATATGGAGAAGGGGCCAGGGTGATACCCGGCTTGTATCATTCAGCATAGCAGAGAGTTTGAAAGCAGGGGTCGTGTGCACAGGTTGCAGTGAAAGCCCTGGGCAGGGCCTGGGCCGGGCAGACTGCTGGGGGCTGGGGAGCAGGATGGAGCTGCCCAGCAGCTCAGAAGCACGGGGTGAGGGGCCGCAGCAGGTGTGCCTGCTGACCGGGCAGTGGGGCTGCTCCGCAGAGACCAGTGGTTCCTTACGCGGTGTGCTGGGGATGTGGCATTGCCCCCAGCTGCCTGTGGAGGTGAGGGACTGGTGCTCGCCCAGCCCCGAGCCCCTGCGGTGCCTTGTGCCGCCCTGCTTGCGGCGGCCTCTGGAAGGCTGAGGGTAGGGAGAGGCCGCCCAGCACGAGGTGGCCGGGATCCAGACCCAGGCCCGGCCTGCCAGCTGGAGCCCACACAGCTGGCCCGCGGGCCCTTCCTCTCCCAGCCACCGGGACTCCCAGCTGTGCCACGCCAGCGCACGGGAGCAGTGCTGTGGGACGCCAGGAGTCCTGCCAAGCGGGAGAGTTGGAGTCAGAACACGCAGGTGCCCGTGGCCTCCCGCCCTCACCGAGAGGTGGCCGGAGGAGAGAGGAGGGGCAGGTGCCTCCAGGCAGGCTGGGCCTGTCTCAGGCCTTGCTGTGGCAGAAAACGGGCAGGTTCTAACACAGCGGGAAGGACTGGCACGAGCCGGGCAAAGCGTAGAGCAGCTGCCTTCTTGGAGCCCCTGGGCCTGCGCTGTTGGCTGCTGGGGCGAGCTGAGTGGAGATGGGCGGTGAGCAGCTGAAGCCAGGAGCCAGGTGCTTCCTCCAGGTCTCCCATGCGGGTGCAGGGGCCCAAGGACTTGGGCCATCTTCCAGTGCTTTCCCAGGCCACAGCAGAGAGCTAGATCGGAAGTGGAGTAGCTGGGTCTCAAACTGGCGCCCATATGGGATGCTGGCGCTCCAGGCCAGTACGTCAACCCACTTCACCACATCGCCAGCCCCGCTCAAGCAGGTTTGACTGCAGACTCAGCCTCTGGCGGAGGCAGACTCAGCCCTCCTGGGAGCTCTCAGCCTGTGCGTGGGGGCCCTGGATCCGTACACTGCTCTCTGAGAGCCGGACCTCGTTTCTCAATGCAGCGCCAGTGCACGCCTGTGGCCGCTGTGCACACCTGGAGGTCAGGGCCTCCGGCCGGTGTGGACTCACTGGCGGATGTTCTGGGGTCTCCTCTGCCGGCCTCCAGGGGCTGTTGTGAAGACTGGGACTTGTCTCAGGCCCGCTAGTCGCTTCCTGGGTCAGCTGGGTGTGGCCTGGGATTGACCAGGCCAGTGGGTAGTGATTTCCCCTGGTGTGGCCTCTGTGGTCATCCCAGCCTCTAAGCAGAAGCAGCTAGACAGGGGAGAGGGTGCAAAATATGGTGACAAAAATCCACATCCAGCTTTTTGAAGGTTTATTTATATATTTGAATGTCGGAGTTACAGAGAGAGAGGGAGAGACACTCAGAGAGATCTTCCCTCTGTTGGTTCATCCCACAGATGGCTGCGGGAGCCAGGAGCTTCTTCCAGAATTCCCACATGGGTGGAGGGGACCCAAGGGCTTTGCCCAGTTTGCACTGCTTTCTCACGTGTATCGCAAGGAAGCTGGATTGGAAATGGAGGAGCCAGGATGTGAACAGGTGCCCATATGGACTACCGCTGTCACAGGCAGTGACTTTACCTGCTGTGCCACAGCGCTGGCCCCCAAATCCAGTATTTTAATGAAAAACATTAAATCTCTTAAACGGGAAAAAAAAACTTAAATTCAAAATGAATTCTATATGAAAAATTTTCTAGTATCTAGGAAAGCGCATGACGCCAGTGCTGTGGCACGGTGGATTAAGCCATGGCCTGTAGCACTGGCATCCTCCATGGGCGCTGGTTCAAGCCCCCAGTGCGCCACTTGTGATCCAGCTCCCTGCTAATGTGCACCAAGAAAGCAGTGGAAGAGGGCCCACGTCCTTGGGCCCGTGCACAGAGGAGAGACCTGGACGAAGCTCCTGACTTCGGCCTGGCCCAGCCCCAGTCATTGCGGTCACTCGGGGGTGAACCAGAAGATGGAAGCTCTCTCTCTCTCTCTGTAAGTCTGCCTTTCAAAGAAGTAAATAAATCTTAGAGAAGTGCTGTGCTGTGTCATGTGCTTCCACTTCTCCCCAGGCAATCGCTGAAGCTGACAGAGGCTCACCAGGCTGCGGCCGTCAGCTCCCAGGCGCTGCGGACGCCATGGACCTGCATCGAAGCCAAGAAGTCCTTCAGGAAATCCGTCTCCCTGCACTGCATTCCTGGAAAAAGAGGATCATGAGATTCAAGGTTTTCCCATGCTTGTTTAGGTCCATGTACAGCAGATACTTTGCCACCTGGGAGTGGGTCTCGTGTCTCCCAGACGGCACGGCAGCAGCTCTATCCCTGGTGCTCAGGCGTACGGAGCAGCCTCACGTGCGTCCTGGCGCACTGAGCTCTTGAAGAAACCCGGTGAGGCAGGTAGAGCGGCTCGCATGCTGTAGAACAGCTAAGGAGACGGGCTCTGAGGGTAAGCAGCCAACCTACAAAAGGAGACTGGAGACTAGCACCCTAGATTCCTTGTCAAAAAGGACTTTTCCCGAACTTAGGCGGCTTGATTTCATAGTTGCCTTGCTGGCGGACTACTCCAGCGTGTGAACGGTCTGTGTGGTCCAGTGCTGCTCCGCCCCTCCACCTCTTCTCCGTTCTGATCACCTGCAGAGGTGGACATTTATTTCCTTGTTTTAGTGGGAGTCTTACTTTCATTAACAAATAAGTGTGAATCGATGTGCATTTGAAAAATTAAGATCCGCTCATCAAGTGTCAAGTGAGAGCTACCCAGCCTCCCGAGGGGGCTGCCATTCAGTTTGTGGGTTCTCCAGGCCCCTCTTGCCAGACAGCCAAGGAGAGGGCTGTTAGGAGCGCTTAGAAGCAGCTGCAGTAGGGAGAGGAGTCCTGGGAGCCGGCTCTGCTGCACGGGTGTCCTGGGGCGCAGCTGATGGTTGCCAGTGAGTGAGTCTACTGCAGCGGTGGATGGCTTTCAAATAAATAAATAAATCTTTAAAAAAAGTGAATAGAATAATGATCCCCCATTGCTGGTCTTCTAGTTTTAATAGCTATCAAAACTGCCAATTTCTTTCTTTCTTTTTTTTTTTTTTTTTTTTGACAGGCAGAGTTAGACAGTGAGAGAGGAGACAGAGAGAAAGGTCTTCCTTCCATTGGTTCACCCCGCAATGGCCGCTGCGGCCGGCGTGCTGTGCTGATCCGAAGCCAGGAGCCAGGTGCTTCTCCTGGTCTCCCATGGGGTGCAGGGCCCAAACACTTGGGCCATCCTCCACTGCACTCCCGGGCCACAGCAGAGAGCTGGCCTGGAAGAGGGGCAACCGGGACAGAATCCGGCGCCCCGACTGGGACTAGAACCTGGTGTGCTGGCGCTGCAGGCGGAGGATTAGCCAAGTGAGCCGCAGTGCCGGCCCCAATTTCATAGAACTCTTGTCTCTGTCCCCCACTCCTTTTGTGGTGTAAAGGGTAGAGTATTTTCTAGAAAAAAATTTTTTAGGATTTATTTATTTGAGAGGCAGAGGCAGAGAGAGAGAGATTCTATCAGTTGGTTCACTCTCCAAATGACTCAATGGCCAGAGCTAGGCTGATCTGAAGCCAGGAGCCAGGAGCTTCCTCCAGTCTCCCACGTGGGTGCAGAGGCCCAGGGACTTGGGACGTCTTCTACTGCTTTCCCAGGCCACGGCAGAGAGCTGGATCAGAAATAGAGCAACCAGGACTTGAACTGGTACTGCAGAGGCTTAACCCACTATGCCACAGCACCAGCCCCTCCAGCCAATTCTTGACATGGAGTTAGGACTCCTGTACATACTTTGGGTCCGTCAGGGTCTTGATCAGGAGTGAAGGGAGAGGCAGGTGGGAGCCGAGGTCTCAGGGCGCCCTCCATGGAGCAGGCTGGGGAGAGGACTCCGCTGTGTCAGTCCGGGGGAGCTTGGGGAGTCTGTTAAACCGGTGCAGGGGGTGATCCGATGTCGGGGAGCTGTCGCGGGGGGGCCTTGGCTTAGAGGAGGAAGGGAAGAGGCTGCCTGTGGCTGGCACCGCTGCAGGATTCCCAGTGGTGACAGCGAGGTCCCCTAGTTCCCCACTGCCCGGTGCCCCAGCCGCTCAGTCCCCAGGGCCGCGGGGGCGGTCACGGCGTGGGTTGTGGGGGGACATAGCCGACAGTTCTCTCGTCTGTTTCCAGAATGGCATCATCACTAGCATGTACCCAGCAGGCCCCTCCAGTTGGCTCATCGTGGTGGTGGGTGTGATGTCCTCAACGTACGGCAAAATGGACCCCTCCTTGGGAATCATTGCCAGAATCAGTGAGACCCTCGACATGATGTAAGTGATCTTTTTAAAAAATGTTTATTGGCTTATTATAAAGAATATTTTATTGTTATTTTTAAGGATTTATTTTTAATTGAGAGGCAGAGGGACACAGAGAGAGGGAGGTAGATCTTCCATATGCTGCTTCACTCCCCAGATGCCTCCAACAGACAGAGATAGGACAAAACCAGAAGCCAGAAATTCCATGCTCGTCTTACTTGTGGGTGGCAGGAACCTAAGTATTTAGGGCATTATCCCTTGCCTCCTAAGCACATTAGCAGGGAGCTGGATCAGAATTGCAAAGTGGCCCAAACTAGAGCCAGGCACTCTAATATTTTTATGTGGGTGTTCCAAGTGATGGCTTAACTTGCTATGCCACAATGTCTGTCCTCAAGGCTATTTTAAAGGACATAAATGTACAGTCAGATGAAAAGATACATAGGACGAGGTCTGGAAAGACCCGTAGCCAGTTCAGTTGCACCACACTCTTGGGACAAGGATATGGTCTTGTTCACCTTCCTGGGAGCCAAGTGGAGTAGTCTTGACAAATCTCCAAACATAGAGAAAGTTACTAAGCTGTCATTTAAAAAAATATTTATTTATTTATTTATTTATTTATTTGAAAGACAGAGTTACAGAGAGGCAGAGGCAAGAGGAAAGAGAGAGAGAGATCTTTCATCCACTGGTTCCCTCCCCAGTGGCTGCAACAGCTGGAGCTGGGCCGATCCGAAGCCAGGAGCCAGGAGCTTCCTCCGGGTCTCCCACCTGGGTGCAGGGGCCCATCTTCCACTGCTTTCCCAGGCCATTTGCAGGGAGCTGGATCACAGATGGCACAGCTGGGACACAAACCGGTGCCCCGTGCAGTGCCGGCATTGCAGGCGGCGGCTTTCACCTGCTCCTCCACAGCGCTGGCCCCTGGGGTCCCGGGCTGTGCTGGGCTCCTGGCGGGCGCACTCCCGAGAGCAGCTGGGCAACACCCAGCATGTGTTTCCCGAGTGCCTCTGGTGTCCCTTATTCCCTGCCCTCCAAACGTTGGCCCTGACTCTCACCTTGGACCTGGGGATCAGACCCTGTGCTGCGGTGACGTCATTGAGGTCTTGCCAGTGCCAGCGAGGAAGCTCCAGGGAGGGGAGGCGCAGGTGCCTGGCGGGGTCACAGGAGGAGCGGGGTCACAGGAGGAGCAGGGGGGGGGGGGAGGGAGGGTCACAGGAGGAGGGGGCGGGGTCACAGGAGGAGGGGCAGGGTCACAGAGGAGGGGCGGGGTCACAGGCAGAGGGGGCGGGGTCACAGGAGGAGGGGGGATCACAGGAGGAGGGGTGGCTCACAGGAGGAGGGGCGAGGTCACAGGAGGAGGGGCGAGGTCACAGGAGGAGGGGCGGGGTCACAGGAGGAGGGGGCGGGGTCACAGGAGGAGGGGCAGGGTCACAGAGGAGGGGCGGGGTCACAGGTGGAGGGAGCAGGGTCACAGGCAGAGGGGGCGGGGCCACAGGAGGAGGGGCGGGGTCACAGGAGGAGGGGGTCACAGGAGGAGGGGCGGGGTCACAGGAGGAGGGGGGGTCACAGGAGGAGGGGCGGGGTCTCAGGAGGAGGGGCGGGGTCACAGGAAGAGGGGCGAGGTCACAGGAGGAGGGGCGGGGTCACAGGAGGAGGGGTGGGGTCTCAGGAGGAGGGGCGGGGTCACAGGAGGGGCGGGGTCACAGGAGGAGGGGTGGGGTCACAGGAGGAGGGGCGGGGTCTCAGGAGGAGGGGCGGGGTCACAGGAGGGGCGGGGTCACAGGAGGAGGGGGTCACAGGAGGGGCGGGGTCACAGGAGGGGCGGGGTCACAGGAGGAGGGGCGGGGTCACAGGAGGAGGGGCGGGGTCTCAGGAGGAGGGGTGGGGTCACAGGAGGGGCGGGGTCACAGGAGGAGGGGGTCACAGGAGGGGCGGGGTCACAGGAGGAGGGGCGGGGTCATAGGAGGAGGGGGCGGGGTCACAGGAGGAGGGGTGGGGTCACAGGAGGCGGGGTCACAGGAGGAGGGGTGGGGTCACAGGAGGGGTGGGGTCACAGGAGGGGGCGGGGAAGCTGGGGCTCCAGCAGCTCCAGCAGCTCCAGCAGCTCCAGCTCTGGGGTCTGTGCTTGTCCAGTGCACGCAGAGCCTCCCTGTAGGGCCCTGCCTGGGACACGGGCAGCGTGTGAGCAGACGGTGGGACCCGGGCGCCCAGGGACCTCGTGCGGCCGCCGCCTCGGGCTTCCCCGCACGCTCGGCTCCTGGTCGAACGCGCCGCGGTGTCTCGCAATGGCCGAGCTGTCCCATGCCAGATACTCAGTCCCAGTTTCGTGTGCTGTTTTCACTGACGAACATTTTAGGACCCAGACAATGGGACAAGTACCCCCCCCCCCATGCTGGTCCCAGAATCGTGCCTTGTGTTTCAGGCCAGGAACTCCACGTGCAAGGGGCAGTGCGGGGTCAGGGCTAAGCTACAAGTGAAGTGGTGCATCCCTGCAACCCTTCCTGCTTGTTCCGTGCTAAAGGAGTGAGAAATAAATTAGCTGAAGTGTAACAGATGAAAACCTCCTCATAGCTCAGGAGTGAATTTCATCCTGAGGACAAAACACAAGCAGATTGCCCTCGACTGTGAATTTGAAAGACAGGACTGCAGAGAGGGAGAGACAGAGACACAGAGACACAGAGAAAGGGAAAGATACTGATTTTCTGTCTGCTGATTCACTCCCTAAATGTCTGCAACAAACCAGGAGCCCGAAACTCCATGTGGGTTTTCACTGGAGGCGGCAGGGGCCCACGCGCTGGAGCCTTCCTTGACTGCTTTCCCAGGTGCGTTAGCAAGGAGCTGGATTGTGGCGGAGCACGGGGACTGGAGCTGGGACATGCCCTGTAAAGCTTTTCTAGTGGCTGTTGTTTCTGATTAAGATGGTACTCCTAGCAGGTACCGCCCAGCCATCCCAAGTAAGCACTTCACACTTCGGAGAGGAGCTGGAGCTCTTTCCCAGCACCTTCTAAATGTGGCCAGTCACTCAGCCCCGCCGAAGTGAGCGTCTCTTATCGGGAATCAGAAAGCTATCAAACAGGGCACAGCCTCTCTGTCTAACGCAGCTTTGAGTTGGACAGTGGTGTTCTTTCTGAAGGCACAAGTTGGACATTGATTACCCAAAGGTTTAAAATCCAAGGACAGCCGGCGCCGCGGCTCACTAGGCTAATCCTCCGCCTAGCGGCGCCGGCACACCGGGTTCTAGTCCCGGTTGGGGCGCCGGATTCTGTCCCGGTTGCCCCTCTTCCAGGCCAGCTCTCTGCTGTGGCCCGGGAGTGCAGTGGAGGATGGCCCAGGTGCTTGGGCCCTGCACCCCATGGGAGACCAGGAAAAGCACCTGGCTCCTGGCTCCTGCCATCGGATCAGCGCGGTGCGCCGGCCGCAGCGCGCTGGCCGCGGCGGCCATTGGAGGGTGAACCAACGGCAAAAAGGAAGACCTTTCTCTCTGTCTCTCTCTCTCACTGTCCACTCTGCCTGTCAAAAATAAAAAAATAAAATAAATAAATAAATAAATAAATAAAATCCAAGGACAGTGCTACGTGACAGGGGCAGCCGTGAGGTCTGTGACGCAGCGGCCCAGGGCTCCCTTCCCTGCTGAGGAGTGTGCGTGGGTCTCACTCGTCTCCCCAGGGGCCGCATGTCCAGCCAGACGAAGACCGTGGTCAGCGGCGTGCTCTTCGGCACGGGCCTCTGGGTGGCCCTCATCATCACCATGCGCTGCTCCCTGAAGGTGCTCCTCTCCTACCACGGCTGGATGTTCGCCGAGCACGGCAAAATGGGTCGCGCCACCAGGATCTGGATGGTGAGGCGCCGCCCTCAGGGTGGGGCTGGGCGGGCACGGTCTGCTGCTTGAAAAATATTTAATTGGCCCAAGATCCAGCATATCAGGGGGCTTTAAAAAGTTCATGGGAAAAACAGACATTATGCCAAAACTGTGGCTGCATTTTAGTTTCTGTTCCAAAATAAAAATGACCTTTTAATTCCATTTCCCCAGAGCTTTCTGAAGTACGCACGTATTTATGGGGTACAAAGTGGCATTTCAATATTTATACAGAATGTGTATGTCTGTTCCCTGACTAGAGCAAGGCAGTGGCATATCCATCGTCTCAAACATTTATCATTTCTTTATGTTAAGAATATTCTTTCTTTAACAATAAGTAGTATATGATTTTATGTGCAACTTTATGACAATCATTTAGAAAATGTACATGAAATGGAAACACTTTTCGGAGCATAATTGTCAGTCCTGTCATAAGGCATCCCGAAGAGTCTGTCACCTTCTAGTGTACTGAGAACATCTGGATGCCCTCTAGTAGCTGCTGTGGTGTTCACAGTTGCTGACGCGTAGCTGCCCTCCCAGCTGCCCTCCCAGCTGCCCTCCCAGCTGCGGAGCTTTCGCAGTCACCCTTCTGTCCGCCTGCGCCCTCTGCTGGCTCTCAGGCTCAGAGCAGGGGCCTTGTGGTTCTCGGGACACGTGGTTTCTGACTTCAGTCGACTTCCAACTGTCGGAGGGGTTCGGTTCACCATGAAACCTGCACGAGGACTAAAGAATGTTTTTCTTTTATTTTTTAAGACTTATTTTATTTATTTGAAAGACAGGATTATAGAGAGAGAGGGAGAGACAGAGAGAGATTTTCCATCGCTGGTCCACTCCCAGATGGCTGCAGTGGCTGGGATGGCCAGGCCACAGCCAGGAGCCAGGAGCTTCTTCTGGATCTCTCGTGGGCGTGGCAGGGGTCCTGGAACTTGGGCCATCTGCCACTGCTTTTTCAGGCCGTTAGCAAGGAGCTGCATTAGAAGTAGAGCAACCATTTGTCCTTAGTGACGTCAGTGAGCACTGACAGGGCCGGCGCTGTGGCGTAGCCGGTAAAGCCACCGCCTGCAGTGCCGGCATCCCCTATGGGTGCTGGTTTGAGTCCCGGCTGCTCCACTTCCAATCCAGCTCTCTGCTATGCCTGGGAAGGCAGCAGAAGATGGCCCCTGCCCCTGCATGGGAGACCTGGAAGAAGCTCCTGGCTCCTGGCTTCGGATCGGTGCAGCTTCTACCATTGTGGCCAATTGAGGAGTGAACCAGCAGATGGAAGACCATTCTCTCTCTCTCTCTCTCTGCCTCTCCTACCCTCTCTGTGTAACTCTGACTTTCAAATAAATAAATGAATCTTTACAAAAAATAGCAAGTTTTATACAGCCAGACCCTGAATATCCTATCACCTTTGAAAGCATCATTTTTTTTCAGGCTATGGTCAAGATCCTTTCATGCCGGAAACCCACGCTGTACAGTTTCCAGACTTGTCTGCCGCGCCTGCCTGTCCCGGCCGTGAAAGACACTGTGCACAGGGTAGGTGTCTCACCCGTCTTTTGAATTAAGGCACATGTCTTCATCATGACCACCAGTTTGTTTTCTTTTTTTTTTTTTTTTGCGAAGTGGACAGGGCTGGAGGCGGCCGGGCCGCGCCCCCCGTCCCGCCGGGGCCCGCCCCGCTCGTGTCAGGCTGCAAACCATTCTGAGCGCCCACGGTCTCCGGGCACCGAGCGTAGAAACAGCCACTTGCTCTCTGCCCGCGGCCACGCACAGCTCCGCGGCCGCTCCCGCGGCGGTGCCGGGCCAGGCCGAGCCCGCGGGCAGCGACCAGTTTGTTTTCTATATTTGGCTATGTTAGCTCTTAGCAATGAACCTTGTAGAGTTGTTAAAAGAAAGTTTTTTTCCTAATTCATCACTTACTGTATATTTGGTGTTTTTAAAATGGTATCATGTTTTATAGAGAAACTGCATGGCAAAAGTTTTATTTTTAACAAGTTTATTGAGGTATAATTTATACACCATACAGTTGCATATTTAGAGTGCATAACTCAGTGAGTTTCAGGGTATTACATCACTGTTTTAAATGTGGTAAATATAGACCCAATAAGAAATTTATCATTCTAACCATTTTCAGTTCAAGTGGTACTGATTATGTTCATAGTGTTATACAGCCGTTGTCACTATTATTTACAAAATGTTTGTGTTGTCCCAGACTGCAGCTCTACAGTAACTCCCTCTCCCCTCCCGGGGCCTCCGCTGCCTCTCCTCTGCTTTCCCTCTCGGTGAATTTGCCTGTTCTAGCTGCCTCCCGTCGCTGGAATCCTCTGGTATCCGTCCTTGTGTGACCTCTGCAAGGCCATTCCTTCCAGGCTCCCTGCAGCGTGTGGCAGAATTCCTGTTTGTGGCTGAATGTTTCCTGTGTGGAAAGACCGCCTGTCCGGGTTGATGGGTGGTGGATGTTTTTTACCTGATTTTTTAAGGGCACCAGGCCAGTGTGCCTCTGCTGACTGGGACAGCTGACTGCGGGAGTGACCACCCCCATTCCAAAGTCAGAACTTGTCTTGAGACTTTGACAACAGCCGTTGTCACAGTTGCTCGTTTCCTCCTCAAAGCCACTTCTTTCTTTTTTTCATTTAGAAAAAGGGAGGGAGTGGCTCTATTTCTTTGTTTCTTTCTTTGTACAATTGGGAGAAAATATTCCTGGCACAGGTTTCACTCATTTTCAAACAAACAATTCACTGGCATTAAGCACATATTAGGGTTGTACAACTATCACTACTGTCTAGTGCCAGGACTTTCTCATCACGTAAAACCCCATTCCCGTTAGGTAGTCACTCCCCGTTCCACTGCCCCCACCCTGCCCCAGCCCCTGACAACCAGCAATCCACCGCCTTTCTCTGTGGGTTTGCCTGTCTGGACATTTCATGTGTGCTTTTTTTTACTTGACATTATAATTTTCAGGGCTGTAAGCATGGGCATGCTCCCCTTTGTGTGGCTGAACTGTCCATCCGAGAACATCTGAGCTCCTCCCTTTGGCTCCTGTGGGTGGTGCTGCTGCAAGCACCCACACCCAGGGCTTCCTCTAAGCACCTTCTGTCAGGTGCCTTCTGCCCGCACAGGAGGCACCAGGCGCACGGCAGTTCTGTGTTCAGCTTCATTCACTGAGCAAATACCATTTTACATGCAATCCAGCAATGGATTAAGGGTTCCAGTTTTTTCACAGCACCATTTTATAATTTTTAAAATTCATTTTCTTCTTTTAGATTTTGTATTATTTTCAGTGTATTTGAAAGGCAGAGAAACAGAGATCTTCCATCCACTGGTTCATTCCCCAAAAAGCTGCAACAGTCAGGGCTGGGCCAGCCTAACCCAGGGGCCAAGAACTTAAACTTGGTCTCCAGCATGGGTGGCAGGGATCCAAATATGTGAGTCATCATCTGCTGTCTCCACGGTGTTCATCAGCAGAAGCTGGGTCAGAAGCAGAAGAACCTGACTCGAACCAGGGCACTCCAGTGTGGGGCAGGCATCCCAAGCAGTGATTTAACCATTGCACCTAACAGCCAGAGGCCCTGCTCAAAAGCTATACACAGGCTGCCAGCACTGTGGCATAGCAGGCAAACCCACTGCCTCCAGCACCGGCATTCTTTATGGGCTGTGGTTTATGTCCCTGCTGCCCCACTTCTGATCCAGCTCCCTGCTAATGCACCTGGGAAAGCAGCGGAAGACGGCCCCAGTCTTTGGACCCATCCATGTGGGAGACCTGGAAGAGGCTTCTGGCTCCTGGGTTCAGCCTGGCCCAGCCCTGGCCATCCCAGCCACTGCAGCCACTTGGGGAGTGAACCAGCACTTGGATGACCTCTGTTTCTCCCTTTCTGTCTCTGTAACTCTGCCTTTCAAATAAAGAAGATACATCTTTTTAAAAAATTATATGCAGGCCACCTTCAGGCTCAGGGTTTGAGCCCTGATGTGGTTATTCAGTTCCCATTGGCCTTGGGAGCTCCTTCCCATCTATGCTGTTCGGTGCTGTCACCTGTGCCTTGGGACTGGTTAGACCACGAACCCCCAAAGAAAAAAAAAAAGCCAGATGTTCAGTGAGTGTCTGCCTGTCCGGCTGAGCTCACAGCTCCTCCTGCATGTTCAGAGCACGACTTTCTGCTTCCTTAAGGGAGGGTCCTGTGGTTCAGCCTCAGGACACTTCCCAGGTGCTCCTTCGTAGGGGATGGGAACCTATCCCTAACTGCAGGGAGGGCCCAGAGACCAGCACTTCCCAAGGCTCCTTGTCAGATGGAAGTGCTTCATGGAGTCCTGGCACGAACGGCAGGGCTATCTCCCTAAGTTCTCGTACAGGTACATGTCACAGGCTTCGCCGTGCCTTTAAAAAGCCTCACGTGTGAACTGCTTCCTGGGTGCCTGCCCACCACGGCAGTGCTTGTCAAGGAGGGAGTGTGAAGACCTGAACCTGCAGCCCTGCACCTGGCCTTGGCCTGGTGTCATGACCTTCCCCTTGCCATCATGCCTGCTCCCTGGCCTGCTGTGGGGAACCTACCTGACCCAGCACCAGCTCCCGGCACTGCCCTGTCCCATCCTGGATGTATCACCATCTCAGGTCGCCTAGCTTAGGTGAAAACACTTTTTAAGTGCCAAGTATTAGAACAGAGACACTCTTACATTATCTTTGTGAATGGATACTGGAGACTGTACTGTGGTGACTTTCTGATTGACGCAGGATCCAGAGCGCTTTTAAAGCCCCTAAACGATGAAGAAGTGTGAGGATTTAATTAGCATTAGCTACAGCGTCATTTAGCTCTGGGGTGAGTTAACTTGTCCAAACACTGTCAAAACCGACATGGAGAAGGTTGTCAAATCTTACGACTGTGTTAGAATTTCTTCTACGGCACAGGACAGAAAGCTGTAGGCTTTGATCAACATGTTTTGACGTGGTGTTTCCCTCAACCTCAGTACCTGGAGTCCGTGCGGCCGCTTATGAAGGAACAGGACTTTAAAAGGATGACGGCGCTGGCCCAAGACTTTGCTGTCAATCTGGGGCCAAAGCTGCAGTGGTATCTGAAGCTCAAGTCCTGGTGGGCTACAAATTACGTGAGTACGAGTCTGCGACGGCTCTTCTTGATGGCACCTCTCGGGACGAAAGTGCTACTTGGAGGCCAGGGTAACGGCTGAGGTGACAGATTGGGCTGGGCCCGTGAGGACCCACGAGCGGGAGAGGGGACGGTGCTGCCCACGCAGGGCGCTCGTGCTCGGGAGTGAGGTGCGGCGTGGTGACAGCTGTACCCAGCACAGGGGTCCTGCGCCAGGCACGTGCTGAGGGTGTGTGTGTGTGTGGGGGGGGGTCCTCTGCATCTTGCTCCAGAGCCTTGTAGACTGCGGCTTCCCTCCGTCCAGTCGTGAACGTGCCGCCCCGCCCCTGCTCCTTCCTCTGGCTGCTTCCTTTGTGTCAGGGAATGGTTTCTGGGCTCGCCGGTCAGGGACGTGGTGCGGTCAGTCGTATGGGCGGGGGCGGTGCCCGTGGCCTCTGTGGAGCTGGATTCGGCTCAGGCTCTCATCAGCGTCAGCTCCTGGGAGACGAGTTAGCTGGTGCGGGCGGGGCCGGGACCTGGCTGAGCTTCCACCTTCAGAGAGGGAAGAGCAGGGGGCTGGGTCCTGAGGAGAGAGCGTGTTCCGTGCGTCCCCGTGAAGCCAGCAGGCGGCGCTGGACGTGGGCATCCCGGTTGGGGGCAGTGCCCGAGGGAGCGTGCGAGGCCTCGGGCTGGCCCTGCTCTGTTTGTGGTCGGGTGCTGGTGACGCGGGTGTGCTGAGTTTGTCCAGAGTGACTTGCCGCACACTTAGCCCCCTCCCCACACACGGTTCTGGACGCCTGTGTGTCCAACACAGAGCTCCCAAGGTTCCCAGGACAGCGGCAGGTGGCGCGGTGAGGAAGAGCTGGCTGTGGGCAGGGCGAGGTCGGGCCGTCCGTGCTGGGGAGGGAAGCTGACCGTGCTGCCCTCCGGGCCAGTGCCGTGGCTCCAACCACAGAAGTCGAGTGAGACGGTGCTTTCTCAGGGCGCTGGGAAGTGGGCAGTGGAGAGCCCGTCTGTGGAGCAGAGTGGATGGCATTTTTTTGAAGATTTATTTAATTTATTTGAAAAGCAGAGTTACAGAGAGGCAGAGGCAGAGGCAGAGAGAGAGAGAGAGGTCTTCCACTTGCTTGGTGCACTCCCCAGATGGTTGCAACGGCCAGAGCTGCACTGATGTGAAGCCAGGAGCCAGGAGCTTCATCCAGGTGTCCCTCATCAGTGCAGGGGCCCGAGGACTTGGGCCATTTCCCACAGCTTTCTCAGGCCACAGCAGAGAGCTGGATTGCACCCGCATTGCAGGTGGTGGCTTTACCTGCTGTGCTGCAGCGCCAGCCCTGGCATTGGTTCAGCGGCTGGTGCTACGGCACAGCAGTAAGCCACACCTGCAATGCTGGCATCCGATGAAGGCACCAGTTCGAATCCTGGCTGCTCCACTTCTGATCCAGCTCCCTGCCAGTGCGCCTGGGAAAGCAATTGAAGACGAGCCACGTGATGAAGCTCCTGGTCCCTGGCCTCTGGCTATTTGGGGAATGAACCAGCAGACGGAAGATCTCTGTCTCTCTCTCTCTCTCATACACACACACACACACACACACACACACTTTGCCTTTCAAATAAATAAGATAAATTGTGAAAATTTTTAAATAAAATGTGTACAGGGCCAGCATTTCGGCGCAGCAGGTTAAACAGCTGCTTATGATGCTGGCATCCATATCTGAGTATCAGTTCGAGTCCAGCTGCTCTGCTTCTGATCCAGCTCCCTGCTAACATGCCTGGGAAGACAGCAGGCAGTGGCCCAAGTACTTGGCCCCTACAACCCATGTGGGAGATGAGGATAGAGTTCTTGTCTCCTGGCTTCGGCCTGGCCCTGACTTGGCCATAGCAGCCGTTTGGGGAGTGAACCAGCAGATGGAAGATGGATCTCTCTCTCTCTCTCTCTCTCTCTGTCACTCAGCTTTTCAAATAAATAAATCATTTTTTTAAAATATGGTCCTTTTTGTTGTAACCATCTATAATAACCTTATAGCTATGTCTCTAGTTAAAACAAATTCCCCTTCCTTTCCCGCTGCCCACAGTCTCCCTCGTCAGGGCAGCCATCTTCTGCACTGGCCCTGTTAGGTGCCGAACGTCTGCCCCATAGCACTCACGGTGCCCCTGTGGCTCTCGTCTGCCCCACTAGGTGACGGACTGGTGGGAGGAATACGTCTACCTGCGCGGACGCGGGCCGCTGATGGTGAACAGCAACTACTTTTCGATGGTGAGTCCTCCAGCCGCGTGCGTCTGATGGGGACCGTGTGGGGCGTGGCGACCGTGGGAAAGCTCTGGGGAGCGGGGACCCCTGTTCCTCTTGGCCCTGCCTCTGCTGCCCAAGCCCGCACAGCCCTGTGAGGGCCCAGGCTCCCCAGAGGACCGCGGGTCGTCCTTCCGTGCTCCCTGGGTGCTCACGGGTGCAGAGCTGGTGCAGAGAAGTCTGGATGGCAGAGACAGCTCTGTGGCCAATGGGAGCTGCTAGCCGGCTGCACCCCTGCCCTGCTGTTTCCTGACTTAGTGCCGTGACTCAGTGCTCCGCAGCCGAACGAGGCCCCAGCCCCTGGAGCAAGGGCACGTGGGCCAGCCACAAATGTGCCCTGTGCGCTCGGCCCCTCACGTACGGGCTCAGACGCGAGGGTCGTGCGTGGTCGCTGCCCTGGGTCTCGGCCTTTCTTTGTCATCTGAACAGGGCGGTTAGGAAGCGTCCGTGGCCCTGTGTGGTGACTGGCCAGTCCGATCCTGGCCATCTGCTCTCTTCTCTCCACCTCCCTGTGTCCTCAGTAGCATCAGCTGCTTTTTCTTGCAGTCTTACTCCATTTCAGGCTCCTCCTTGTCAAGGTCCTTTTTCCACGTAAAACAGTTGCAGCCTGGGAGACAGTCAGCTGGGGCTCGGGACTGATTCCCTGCGCCGGCCGAGAGCCGCAACCGAGGCCCTTCCCCCCGGGGACGCGTGTGTGCAGCCACAGACCCACAGAGAGAGGCCCTTCCCTCCCTCGCCAGGCACTCGCCATGCACATGGGCTTTTCCCAAATATGCGTTTTTCCATCTTCTCTTCCAGTTGTGGAAAATGGAGATGTTTAGAACTGTGTCTCCAAATTTAGACAGTGCTGGCACAGCTGTGGATAAAAGACTGTTGTATTTTTGGTCACTTAATATTCAGAAACTTCCTAATTAGCTAATCATCACCTGGCTTATAGTTATGCTTTTCTTTCTGTACATTTATACAAGGTCATTTGGGGAAAATACTGTCATTTTTTTAAAAGATTTATTTATTTCCTTGAAAGTCAGAGTTATACAGAGAGAGAGGAGAGGCAGAGAGAAAGGTCTTCCATCTGATAGTTTACTCCCCAACTGTCCACAACGGCTGGAGCTGTGCTGATCCAACGCCAGGAGCTTTCTCCAGGTCTCCCATGTGAGTACAGGGACCCAAGCACTTGGGCCATCTTCTACTGCTTTCCCAGGCCACAGCAGAGAGCTGGATTGGAAGTAGAGCAGCCAGGTCTTGAACCGGTGCCCATATGGGATGCTGGTGCTTCAGGCCAGAGTGTTAACCCACTGCGCCACAGCGCCGGCCCCTGTCTACTGTCATCTTTACTAGCCCAGGAATACATGGGGACTGTGTTCTTGTGGAACAGTTTTGTGGGTTAGACTCCCCTGTTATAGAGTTCCGTCCTCGTCCACTTTGTGTCACAGCACATGTTACCAGATACAGCCGCAGAAACTGCAGCAGTGTGGTGACGCGCTAGTGCAGTTGGATGAGGCTGTGTCTCCTCGCGGCATTTTCTCTGCTGCCCTGTACTTTCAGGATCTGCTGTACCTCACACCAAGTCACATTCAGGCAGCAAGAGCTGGCAACACCATCCACGCCATCCTGCTCTACAGACGTGAACTGGACCAGGAGAAGATCAAACCAGTAAGCGAACACCTTTTAAAACAGTTCTATAAGTCAGCTTCATTGAGGTATAATTTACATATTGCCCACAGAAGATGTACAGTTTACAGTTTAATACCTTCTGACGTATCTATCTATCCACCCCGAAACCACCACCATGCTCAGGCCCGTGAGGCTGTCCCTCGCCCAGGGGTCCCCTCGCCCCTTCCCGGCCCCCCGCCCGGCCCCGCTGCCCTCTGCTTTCCTGGGCTCCAGATTCCTGGGCCGGTTCACAGCCTCACGTGAATGTCCGCACAGGGTGGGCGCGGTCGGGCTTGGTTTTGTTTGTTCCTGTCCCGTGGCGTGATGAGGTGGAGACTGATCGTAGTGAGTGCTAATGGACGTACACCTGTTGTGCTTCCATTCTGCCCTGTCCTTCCCGGAAACCCTTGTTTGTCTCTGAAGGAGAGGGGTATGCTAACGAGCAACTCAGAGGGACAGGCGTTTCCTCCTGGAATACCCTGCGCCCTCAGTGTCACTTTATACATGCCCAGTGAGGCCGTGTGACTCAGGAGGAAGTAAACGGGCAGGAAGCCATACCCTGGCCCGGCCCAGCCACCCCTCGGGATCCACCCTGGGGCGACTGGAAAAGATTAAGTCAGACCACGCAGCGTGAGGAGAAACAAGTGCAGCACTTTAATGTGTGTGGGTTAATTCATTCTTTCTTTCACCATGTAGGATTTTTATGTTTGTTCGCTGGTTTAAAACGTCTTTTTATCGCAGATTCTGCTGGGAGCCACCGTCCCCCTCTGCTCCGCTCAGTGGAAGCGCATGTTTAACACCTCCCGCATCCCGGGAGAGGAGGCCGGTGAGTGAGGCTTCCTCGGGGCTCCGCGCCAGGGAGCTCTCACGCTCAGAACTGGGATGGAGGAGGGCCGCAGGGGTGAGGGCCTCGCCCGCCTCTCCTGAGTGGTGGGGCTGCCAGACGTTCCTTCAGTCATGTTTTCTTTATTGGGCTGCGGCAATGGACCTGATTCCAGATCTTCATTTGTCTTCAATTGAAATGTGTCCTTTAGAGCGCTTTTCTAGGACTGCTTAGAATATTCCTTTGTCTTCTGGATTCCCGAGAGGGCTTTCGCTCGTGTAACAGCTTGTGAGGCTTGTAAAAGGCTCTGAACTGATCCAGCTTTCTAAACGCAGTGTTATAGTCCAGGCCTTCCACACTGTGGGCCCTGGCCAGCGTCTTGTGTGGCAGTGGTCAGGGGCCTCACCGTGCACTGTCCCAGCCCCGGGCAGAGTGACCAGCCGCCCTCCCCAGCTCTGTGCACGGGGCCTGGGCACTGTGCTCTTTTCTAGTCTAAGATTTTTATTTTTTCCTGAGGCCATTTTGTCCCATCTGTTAAAGTTGCCCAGAAATCTTGGTGTTTGCTAAAGCAAATCCTTGCTTCTTCAAGACTGTCTTGGCCTTTTTTCTCTTCCACATGCAGTTTAAGATTAACTTCAATTCCATGAAACTAGCTTTTTGGAATTGCTTTGAAATTCATAAATAGGAAAACTGTCATCATTGCAACATATTTGTTTAAAATGTACTTATTTATTTGAAAGGCAGAATTATAGCAGAGGCAGGAAGATCTTCTATCTACTGGTTCACTCCCCAGATGGCTGCAACAGCTGGGGCTGGGCTGGGCTGAAGCCAGGGGCCAGGAGCTTCCTCCAGGTCTCCCACGTGGGTGCAGGGGCCCAAGCACTTGGGCCATCCTCCACTGCTTTCCCAGGCACATTAGCAGGGAGCTGGATGGGAAGTGGAGCAGCCGGGACTCTGTGCCTATATGGGATACCAGCATTACAGGCAGCAGCTTTACCCACTACGCCGTAGTGCTGGTCCTCATTTGGATTATTTCATATTTTTATATAATTATTTATATATTTGAAAGGCATAGTTACAGAGAGGGGGGAGAAAGAGAGAAGGAGAGAGAGAGAGAGAGAGAGAGATCGAGAGAGAGAGATCTTCCATCTGCTGGTTCACGCCCCAGATGGCCTTGACAGCTGGAGCTGGGCCAATCTGAAGCCAGGAGCCAGGAGCTTCTTCCAGGTTCCCACACAGGTGCAGGGGCCCAAGGACTTGGGCCATCTTCCACTGCTTTCCCAGGCCATAGCAGAGAGCTGGACATGAAGAGGAGCAGCTGGGACTCGAACTGGTGCCCATATGGGATGTTGGCACCGCAGGCGGCAGCTTTACCTGCTGCGGCACAGCACCAGCCCCTTGGATTATTTTAATAACATGTTATTGACAGATATTCTGTGAGCCAAGGTACATGGGCAAGCAAGACTGGTTTAGCAATAATTTATCGGCCAAGTTTTACTTTATGGAGGAAGTGCTGTGCCTTAAGCAGCAGCAGCTCTGGAGGGGCTGGGGAGAGGACACACACAGTTTTGCCTCACAGGAAGAGCTGTGAAGGGCTATGCCCCAGGAAGAAACAGCCCCCAGGGGGCCGGCATTGTGGTGTAGCAGGCTAAGCCATACCACCTGTAACTCTGGCATACCATTCGGATGCCAGTTCAAGTCCTGGCTGCTCCACTTCCAATCCGGCTCCCTGCCGGTGCACCAGGTAAAACACTGGAGGGTAACCCAAGCACTTGGGCCTCTGCAACCACACTGGGGACCTGGATGAAGCTCCTGGCTCCTGTCTTTGGCCTGGCCTGGCCCTGGCCATTGTGGCCTTTTGGGGAATGAACTGGCCCAGCCCTGGCCATTACAGACAGTTGATGGAAGGTATCTCTCTCTCTCTCTCTCTCTCTCTCTCTCTCTCTCTCTCTCTGCCTCTCCTCTGTCTGTGACTCTGGCTTTCAAATGGATAAATAAATCTTTTTTAAAAAGAAAAGAAAAGATGTAACAGCCCCAAAGAGCTGTGTTTCAAGAAGTAGCAGCCACTATATGAGGACACTTGTGTGTTGCAGTTGATTTCTCAACAACGTTGCAGTGGATTCGTTTCTGAGAGGAGCAGCGTGGTGGGGGCAAGAGGCTCGCAGTCACCACACAGACCCCAGGAGTCGGGTGAAAGCAGGCTTGAGGGGAGCAGCCCGAAGACTCGTTTATTTCAGTTGGTACAACATCTTATATAGCCAAGACCAGCCAATCTGGTCAAGGGGCGGTCTATGCCCCAACCAATCACAGCCTGTTGCCAGGCAGTTTCCAAAGCCATCCAATCACAGCCTGTTGCCAGGCAGGCTCCATTGCCAGGTGGGTTTCAAAGCCATTCCTGAGTAACTGACGTGCACTTGCCAGTGGCCACCTTGGCATGGCCTTCTCATTCCACCACACTTGTGTTTTCTGGGCCTGGTGACAGTGGCCTGCCTCTGTGTCCATGAGCCAGCCAGGGGAAAGCTGTGTGTCGTCCAGGCGGGAAGCTGTCAGGTTGGAGGGAAGTGGGTGGTGCTCTGAGAAGAGGGTATGAAGAATTCCTGCAGAGGCCTCAGTGGGGAAAACAGTCCCAGCCAGATGTATGCTTTCATTTGAGTTGGGGGCTGGGGCATCTTTTTTCCCTAACAGTCGCACTGTTCTCTGTAAAGATCTCACTCGCCGCCTGTTAGAGTTATGCTCAGCTGCCTTGTTGTTCTGTTGTTCTTTTCAAGTTGTTGGCTACTGAGTGTATTTGCTTTCTGTGGCCGCCGTAAGGAATACCACAGACTGGACAGCTTCCACAGCAGACGCCGACTCTCTGGAGGCTGTCTTAGCAGGTCGCTTCCTCCTGAGGCTTCTCTCCTCGACTCTGCAGATGGCCGTCTCTCCGTGTCCGCACGTGGCCGACCTCTGTGTCTCTGAGTCCTCGTCCCTTTGTATAAGGACACGGTTGGGTGACATTAACCCGCCTTTCTGGCCTTGCTGAAGGGCCAGTGTCTACATAAGGTCACTTCTGAAATACTGGAGGCTAGGCCCTCACCTCTCCATTTCAGGGAGCGGGTTAGCCCGTACTGGGCTGTGAGAGTGCAGCCGACCTCGACAGATGACTCTGTCCAGCTGCGTTCTTGCTCATTTAAACACTTCAGTAGTTCCCTTCCAGATCCTTACCCTTGGTTTGTTTTTCCCTGTCTTACTGCCCCACCCAGGATCTCAGGTAAAAGGTTCCCTGTAAGTGGTCGTGGTGTGATGGTGTGAATTTCTTGTTTTGGTTCTGATTTAAATCGAAGGTTTCAAATGCATGTTTGCTCCAACTTTCTGTAGAAACCCCTTAGCAGCATAAGTAAGTCCTCTGTCTCTACTTTGGTAGACGTTTTGAAGATGGATGCTGATGTGTTTGGGCCTTCTGTAGCTGGGTCCTTCTTAAAGGCCACTTCCTGCGGGGTGGCAGTGGGTCCTCTCTCATCCCTGGGCGAGGCTGGTCCCATTGCCATGTGCTGTCCAGCTTCTCCTGCCTTCCCCGTGAGCCGCTGTCTTGTTAGGCCGTCACTGCGTGCCCTACACTGAATGGCACTTGAGAAGACGTTGGATGCATATTTGTGAAATATATTTATTTCTTCATGCCGTGTTGAAGCTGCCTGAAGTTTCTGTCTGTTTTAGTAATTTTTACCCAACAACCTTTGTTCTTTTGAGCTGTTCTCCATTTCCCTTTCAGAGAATATCTTCTAAGCTTTCCAGTGGTAATGAATCAGTAAGAACTAACTGCCCCATTTGAATGCTTACTATCTATGAGATTTATGGATATTGTTTTTTTTTTTTTAAAGATTTATCTACTTATTTGAAAGTCAGAGTTACACAGAGAGAGAAGGAGAGGCAGAGACACAGAGAGAGGTCTTCCGTCCACTGGTTCATTCTCCAGTTGGCCACAATGGCCGGAGCTGCGCTGATCCGAAGCCAGGAGCCAGGAGCCTCCTCCGGGTCTTCCCATGTGGGTGCAGGGACCCAAGGACTTGGGCCATCCTCTGCTGCTTTCCCAGGCCATAACAGAGAGCTGGGTCAGAAGTACAGCAGCCCAGACTCGAACCGGCGGCCATAGGGGTTGCTAGCACTGCAGGTGGCGGCTTTACCCACTACACCAGGAAGCCTGCCCCTGGAAATTGTTTTAATTCTAGTACAACCACACCATTTTATAGATGGGAAAATTGGAGCCAGCACTGTGGCACAGCAGGTTAAAACCCTGGCATGAAGTGCCAGCATCCCATATGGGCGTCAGTTCTAGTCCCAGCTGCTCCACTTCCAATCCAGCTCTCTGCTACGGCCTGGGAAAGCAGTAGAAGATGGCCCAAGTGCTTGGGCCCCTGCACCCGCGTGGGAGACCCAGAAGCTCCTGGCTCCTGGCTTCGGATCCGTGCAGCTCCAGCCTTTACGGTCATCTGGAGAATAAACCAGTGGATGGAAGACCTCTCTGTCTCTACCTCTCTCTGTAACTTTGTCTTTCAAATAAATAAAAATTAAAAAAAAAATTGATGGGAAAATGGAGGCTTAGTCAGGGTTGAGTGGCTGCCCAGATCCTGCACCCACTGAGCGGCCAGGCTGAGGGGAGGAGCCAGACCTGTGAGATGGCGAAGTGCTCGACCGCTGTGTGCTCGGTGCTTGAAGGAGGCTCGGGCGTGGGCGCATTACACCGAGGGTAACGCGGGGTCAGGACTCGCGGCCGTTCACAGCCCGGGGTGCCGCCGTGGCCATGACCCTGGACTGTGTCTCCCCCCCACCCCCGTGCCCCAGACACCCTGCAGCACATCCAGGACAGCAGGCACATCGTCGTGTACCACAGGGGGCGCTACTTCAAGGTCTGGCTGTACCACGACGGGAGGCTGCTGCGGCCCCGCGAGATGGAGCAGCAGATGCAGCGGATCCTGGACGACCCCTCGGAGCCCCAGGCCGGGGAGGAGAAGCTGGCGGCCCTCACCGCAGCCGACAGGTGCCCGGGGGCCCCCAGCCCTCCCTTCCCCGGGGTCCGGCCCCGTCAGGACCTGCGGGAACACCCGAGCAGGACGGGTACCCGTGCGTGCGGTGCCTGGTTCTGTGGCAGCAGGTCCCGCCCCAGGCCTGGGGGGTCGCAAGAACAGCCGGGATGCAGGGGGTGCTTTGGCCGTCTCTGTGTGTGACCGGCTGATACGTGCAGGCAGTGACCTCACAGCGAAGAGCAGAGTCAGGCTTTGCGCAGGTGGTGGGTCAATTTGATAGGAGCCAGAACCGCCAGCCGAGGCCCCTGTGTGAGGGTCGGTGTCCTTGCCTCTGAACGAGAGTCACAGAGGTTCTGATGACGCGAGGATGTGGCCCTGCGAGCCCCGCGGCCTTTCTTGCCCTGGGCGCTGTATACAATGGGGCCACATAATTGTGGCTGGGTGGGGCAGGTGGTGAGCCGTGTTCCTAGCCTGTACCCGGATGCCAGTGGTGACCTGGTTGTGACCACTGGAAGAGTCTGCAGACCCTGCCCCATGTCTGCAGGGCGGCGGCGTTCAGGGCCAAGCGCTCCTGGGCTCCCGCAGCGTGATCACTGTTAGGTCCTGAGAGGAGCCGGGCGGGGGGTGCGGGGGCGTCAGGAAAGGGGCCTGGGGGGCCTGGCCTGGATGCCTCCTCCCCACAGAATAGCTGTGACTTCAGTTCCCTGATCGGAACGATGGGCGTGGCAGCGTTGGGAAGACTGCGGGGTCACCCGGCACCGGCGAAGCGCTCTCCCGTTTGCTGTGACTTCTGCCGGCGCCCACTCGGGATGCTTCCCGTGCAGCTGTGGGCTTGGCGGGGCTGGGGGGTGAGGGGCGCCCACTGGGCCCTGGCTCTGCCGCTCCCCGGCAGGTGCACCCTCAGTGCAGTCTGCGTGCTGGCCGTCCCTTCATTCAGCACTGACTGAACAAGAAGCACGGCCACGCTCTGGGCTCTGTCGGGAGCAGCAGAACAGGAGGCCTCTTGGAGCAGCCGTGAGACAGTGTCAGATAAGAAAGTCACGGATAAGACGTTCGCCTGCAGGGAATGGCTGGAAATGTGTAGCGGCTGCGCTGTGCCGTCCAGACGTCACCTGCAGGCAGCTGTCACCGCGTAGCCGCAGGGCCGGCCGGGTGACCTGCATTTAATCCTCTCTGCAGAGTGCCCTGGGCCAGGTGCCGCAAGGCCTATTTTGGACGTGGGAAGAACAAGCAGTCTCTGGATGCCATCGAGAGAGCGGCGTTCTTCGTGACGTTAGATGACACCGAGCAAGGGTACAGAAAGGAAGACCCAGAGACCTCCATGGACAGCTACGCCAAGTCTCTCCTGCACGGCAGGTGTTTCGACAGGTGAGGCCCTGACCTTCGGCTGGACGGTGGCCTGGGAGCAAGGCCGTGCGTGGGTGACGCCACCCTCGGTGTCTGCGTGCTGAGGACAACGCCGGCCTCCAAGTAGTCCTTAGCCTTTTCTTCCTCCGCCAAAACCGTCACACCCAGCTGGAGACCCTCCCTGCGAGTGCGAGTGACCCTCTGAGTGGGGATGCTAGCGGGTCCTGGTGCCGCTGGTCCCCTGGCCCCGGGGGAGCGGGTGGTGTGTGGGGCTGGGTGTGCACCTGGCCTGGGCGTCGGCTCTGGCTCTGCTTGCCGGCCCTGCGCCTGCGGTGAGGCTGCTGCTCTCCTGCAGCCCCCTCTTCCTCATCTGCCAAGGGAGGGCTGCCCCCTGCAGGGCCCGACGGGGTCTGCTGAGGACGGTGTGCCCTGTCCTGCTCCCTGGCTCAGGACGGACCAGCCCTCGTGTGTCTGAGGCAGGGAAGCAGGGAGTACTTAGCCTGCCATCCACACTCCCACAGAGGTTCAGCGGCACTGCCAGCTTTAGAGGGCGGCGGTGACGCCGTCAGCTCAGCCCATCCAGAATGGAGCTCCCGTGGAGTTCTTGGTTATTTTGCCATTTCGGTTCCATTAACATGTTTGTTTCGTAGGTGGTTTGACAAGTCATTCACATTTATCATCTTCAAAAACGGCAAGATAGGCATCAATGCAGAGCACTCCTGGGCAGATGGGCCTATTGTCATCCACTTCTGGGAGGTGAGTGTCTGAGTTGTAACTTGAATGTGGAAACTGCTTTGCAAAATCCAAACCCCATATGAAGTGTTTTTAAAGGATTATATTTTTATTTATTTATCTGAGAGGTAAGGTTACAGACAGACTGTAACTCTCCATCCGCGGGTTCACTCCCCAGATGGCCACAACGGCCGGAGCTGCACTGACCTGAAGCCAGGAGCCGGGAGCTTCTTCTGGGTCTCCCACGTGGGTGCAGGGGCCCAAGGGCTTGGGTCATCTTCTACTGCCTTCCCAGGCCATAGCAGAGAGCTGGATTGGAAGAGGAGCAGCTGGGACTTGAACCAGTGCCCATATGGGATGCTGGTTCCAAAGGCAGAGGCTTGGCCCACTACACCACAGTGCCAGCCCTGGCTCCCCCAAACTAAATTTAATTTTGTAATATTTGTCTAGTTGCATAATTCACATCTTTAACATGCACTGGTACTATGTACAAAGCACTAAATTTAAAGCATTCTTTGTTTCTTCTAACTTGGCTTCCCTAAGTAACAGCACCTCTAATGCCATCCTGTTATGGAACAAAATAATGAAATAGCAGTCAATTGTCAGACTGTGACTCAGAGGGAAAACTGAAACAGTTCATTCAGAAGTGATCTATCCCTTCAAGTTTGTCCTGCTTACTAAGTTTTAGGTTAAATAGAAACAGGAGTATGAAAATCTTGGTTTATGAAAAGGCAGCATCCCTTTTACCTAAACATAATCTTAATTTTTAAAAATAGCAGTTATGTAAATCCCTCCAAGTTCCTGTCATCCTCTCTGCTGTGGTTTGAATATGATTTGACCTCAAACTCAGGCGGATGTTTTAACCCTGAAGTGATTTAATGCCGCTAAGAGGGTAGGAAGTGAATCCACTCCCGGTGTAAGGAGGGGGGTCCTGAGAAGATAATCCCGAGACTGCCTTGGCCCAGCCTTGCTGTCTGCTTCCCGGCTCCCGGGTACCTCTACAATGAGCTCGTCACTGCCTCTGCCACCTTCACTGGAAACCCCGCCAGTGGGCGGCTCAGTCTCTCTTTTCCTTAGCAAACTGTTTCCCAGGTGCGTGCTGTAAGACACACTAGTGCTTCGTTCCTTTCTGTGCTGAACGGCACTGCGTCGTGTGGACACACCGTAGCTTATCTGCATCAGCTGGCAGGCACTGAGGTGGTCTGCATGCTGCTGCTGTGAACTTCTGTGTCGGTCTCTGTGGGAACCTCTCTTCATTTCACGTCACTGGGGAAGGGCAACATCCTTGTCTGTTCTGTCACTCGTGCTTGGATGTCACTGGCGCTGCTCAGGTGCCCCGGGAGCCCTGTCCTAGGAGTCGGCTTAGGTTTCCGCCAGTGGAGGAGAGCCCCTGCTCTGTCTGGGCCTGCATCTCTGTGACCATTGTCTGCTGTCCTCACGTGGGCGTGGCAGTTAGTACCACACAGGTGACACAGGAAAGTCAAGGGCGTGGCAGCACCAGGGAGGCCCTGGCCTGGAGCCGGGCCCCGGGGCTTCCTGTTGTGAGTTTGCGGCTGACACTTTGAGTGTGCATCCTGGCTGTGCGCCTCGCGAGCCGTGTGGTCTTCAGCCAGGTGCTGACCCCTCCCGTGTCATCTCTCTCCTCCGGAGTGGAGCTGAGTCCCACCTCGTCAGGGTCTGCAGAGGACAGAAGTGCCGTGTGTTCTGTAAGCGCGCAGTGAGTGAGCCGTGATGGTGAACTCTACACGGTGTCTCCCTCTGGAGTAGACACGGACTGACGCAGCGCTGTCTGCGGTAGTGGTCACAGGGCCTAACCATGGCGACCTGTACTCCTGACAGAAAATCGTGGCCACCGACTGCTTCCAGCTGGGCTACACGGAGGACGGACACTGCAAGGGGGACACCAACCCCGGCATTGCGTACCCCACCAGGCTGCAGTGGGACATCCCGGAGGAGGTGAGTCCAGGGCATGGAGCCGTGGCGATGACTAGGGCAGGAACTCTTAGAACCTGGTATTCCGAATGTGTCCCTGAATATCACAGCTCAGCTGAAGTCAGTCGCAGGAACCGAAAACGTTTGCCCAGGGAATTTTACTAGGACCGTGCAACTGCCATGGCTCATGCTGCCTTGGAAACTTTAGTCAATGTTTTTTACTTCCATGTAAAACTTTTGGCCAAGGAGCCAGTGCTGTAGCGTAGCAGGTAAAGCTGCCGCCTGCAGTGCCAGCATTCCGAATGGGCGCCATTTCAACTCTCAGCTGCTCCCCTTCCCATGCAGCTCTCTGCTGTGGCCTGGGAAAGCAGCAGAAAATGGCCCAGTCCTTGGGCCCCTGCACCCACGTGGGAAGACCCGGAGGAAGCTCCTGGCTCTTGGCTTCAAATCGGCCCAGCTCCTGCTGTTGTGGCTGAGTGAACCAGTGGATGAAAGACCTTTCTCTCCCTCTCTCCCTCTCTCTGTCTATAACTCTGTCTCTCAAATAAATAAATAATAAAAACTTTAAAAAAAAAGTGGAGAAGCCAGGACTCCAGTCAGCACTCAGATATGGAATGCCTATGTCGCAAGCAGTGGTTTGCCAGCTATACCACAATGCCAGCCCTAATTTATAATTTTAAAAACTTAAAATAGTTTATTTTTGTTTTTCATAAGGATTCTCAAACATAACTTGCTCATTAGGATTCCTTCTGGGAAGGATTTTTGGGTTGGAATAACCCAACTACCCAGTTCTATCTCATGCAAGGAGGAATTCCTGGGGTCCAAGAAATAATCTTTGGTTCAGTGAAGTCCTGTTTCAGTGCTGTGGTCTTACCCGATTGATTCTGCCTCTCTTGCAGTCCTGATCCACAGAGAGGTTCATCTGCCAGACCATGTTAGCTTTGGATCCTTGTCACTGACCAAGTCACTTACTGTTTATTTTAAAAACTGTTAATAGACTTTGTGTTTTACAGCAGTTTTAGATTCACAGTAAACTTGAACACAAGGGACAGAGACTTCCCATACGCCTCGTTCTCCCACCCCTCTGTGCCCCTCCCCTACCAGAGCCTCTCCAGAGAGGCACATTCGTTGCAACAGTGAACCTGTGTGAACGGCACTATCACCAAGTCCATGGAGCACATTACAGTTTCTCCTGGAATTACCCATTCTCTGGGTTTGTAGATAAATTGAAAAATGTGCAGTGACATTTGCTCACTGTTAGACCGCATGCAGGATGGTTTCCCTGCACTGGAAACCCTCTGTGCGCCGCCTGCTCATCCCTCCTCCCTCGCTGCCTCCGGAGCCCATTTGCTCATCTTTCACTGTCTCCCTAGCTCTTCCCTTGTCAGAGTTGGCATCGTACCATATGCAGCTTTTCCAGATTGGCTTCCTTCACTTGCTAACCGCCCTTTGAATTTCCTCTGTGTCTTTTCATGGCTTCATAGTGCATTTCTCTCTTAGTACTAAATGACACTTCGTGACGTGGCGGTTCTTTATTTTAAAAATGGATCCCTCGATTACACGGTACACAACAAAAGCTTCATAAGACAGGATGCATGGTTGTTTGCAGTAGCTGTGGGGTTTTATCAGTCCCCACTTCTGGGGTCGCCCCACAGCTCCTGGGCTGGGGGACAGCACCGTCTTGCTAACTTACTGAAGCCAGCTGCCATTGCCTGCTGGGTGTGCCCCAGTGAACCTTCCTCCCCCGAGTGACGCCTGTCTCTCCTCTCAGTGTCAAGAGGTGATAGAGACGTCCTTGAGCAGCGCGGCGCTCCTGGCACACGACGTGGACCTCCACTCCTTCCCGTTCGACAGCTTCGGCAAAGGGCTGATCAAGAAGTGCCGGACAAGCCCGGACGCCTTCGTGCAGCTTGTGCTCCAGCTCGCTCACTACAGGGTGAGGCCACGAGCCGGGTCTGGGCAGCGAGCACTCTGGCGGCCCCGCGCACACGCCCAAGGCTGGCTGTCCAGTGGGCGTGGAAGGCCTGAAGCATGGCCCGGATGAGGACAGCTCCAGTACTGTGTGGTCTACTTGGGCATCAGCAAAGCACTGTGGGACAGCCACACTCCTGTGTTCACTTACTGTCGGTGGCTGTTTCCAGCTGCCGCGGCAGAGTGAGAAGGCGGCACAGAGGCTGTGTGGCCTTTCAAGCCCGTCATGTTTACTACCTGCGTTTTACAGCAAAGGCTGTGCCTCCTGCTCTATTCTGTGCAGTGTCTACAGAGGATGGATGTGATGTTAACTGGGGCGCCATGGTGATGGATCTGTGCTCCTTACAGCTTTCTGTGACTTTGCAAAGGCGTGCATTTAAGTTACACTCAAGGAGCTCACGCTACTTTTGAAAGTTCAGGATCATTTGTTTTAATATACTGGTGCTTGTGCCTATTCTTTGGCCTCTGGCTAGAAACAATGGGGCCCCATTCCCCAAGGTCAGTTATTTATGCAACACCGCATTTGTTAAAAATGATTGATCCATTTATATGATCTGATAAAAATGTAAATCAGAGTCACTCATTCCAACATCCTTTTTTGCAAGGGTGGCCAAGTGCCAGCTGTATTGGTACAAAGCTTTGCAGGTGGCACCACTCAGACCCAGCTCAGCCAGTTCGCTGGGCTTCCTGTGGTTCTGCCTAAACCCGCACCCCTGCTGTGGTGTGGGCTTCCTGCTCCGAGCTCCTGACCTTTCCTGTGTTCAGGAACCAGAGCTTTCTGGGGGCCTTCTGTCTGCTGGTGCCAGCCCCTCCGTGGCTGCTCCTCCTGCCCCACACAAATCCCGCCCCCCGGCTGAAGCAGCTGCCTCCACTGGGTTGGCGCCCCACCATGCACACACGATGGGGACTCGTCAGTGCTTTGTGTCCTCAGCCCACTTCCACTGTTGCGTGCGGATCTGCATGTGCGCTGTGCTCCTTCCGTGAGGAGATTTGCCCAGGGATAGCTGAGCGAGGAGGGATGCACGAGGGGCAGATCCAGGAAGCTGTCATGGTATCGCTGCACCCGAAGGGGAAACCTGGGTCACCCAGAGACTGATCCCTGCCTACTCAAAAGCCAATGCCGTGCCTGCCTGCTGCCACGTAAGCAGGTGTGCGTCCAGACACAACTGAAACAAAGATGCAATGAAGCCCTCACCAGCCCAGCCAGTCACCCTCTGCCTCAGCCCTGTCCGCCTGCCTGGCCCTGTACTGACGTCCTCTTCCTTCCCCAGGACATGGGCAAGTTCTGCCTCACCTACGAGGCCTCCATGACCCGGCTCTTCCGGGAGGGGAGGACGGAGACCGTGCGCTCCTGCACCACCGAGTCCTGCAACTTCGTGCTGGCCATGGTGGACCCCACCCAGACGGTAACACACAGCGCCTCCCTGCCTCTCCTGAGGGCTGTGGGGGAGCGGTGCGGCCCCTGTGCCTTCATCATGACCTCTCCTCCCCCCGCATCAACTTCCCTCCACCCTTTAGGCGAACAGCATGGACAGGACAGAGATCAGTGTAACACAGGAGGGACAGGACAGATGTCAGTGTAACATAGGGGGGACAGGACAGAGATCAGTGTAACACAGGGGGGACAGGACAGAGATCAGTGTAACACAGGGGGACAGGACAGAGATCAGTGTAACACAGGGGGACAGACAGAGATCAGTGTAACACAGGGGAGACAGGACAGACATCAGTGTAACACAGGGGGACAGGACAGAGATCAGTGTAACACAGGGGGACAGGACAGAGATCAGTGTAACACAAGAGGGACAGGACAGAGATCAGTGTAACACAGGGGGACAGGACAGACATCAGTGTAACACAGGGGGACAGGACAGATGTCAGTGTAACACAGGAGGACAGGACAGAGATCAGTGTAACACAGGAGGGACAGGACAGAGGTCAGTGTAACACAGGGGGACAGGACAGACATCAGTGTAACATAGGGGGGACAGGACAGAGATCAGTGTAACACAGGGGGGACAGGACAGAGGTCAGTGTAACACAGGGGGACAGGACAGACGTCAGTGTAACACAGGGGGACAGGACAGAGATCAGTGTAACACAGGGGGACAGGACAGAGATCAGTGTAACACAGGGGGGACAGGACAGAGATCAGTGTAACACAGGAGGGGCAGGACAGAGGTCAGTGTAACACAGGAGGACAGGACAGAGATCAGTGTAACACAGGAGGGACAGGACAGACGTCAGTGTAACACAGGGACAGGACAGAGATCAGTGTAACACAGGGGGACAGGACAGAGATCAGTGTAACACAGGAGGACAGGACAGACATCAGTGTAACACAGGGGGACAGGACAGACATCAGTGTAACACAGGGGGACAGGACAGACGTCAGTGTAACACAGGGGGACAGGACAGAGATCAGTGTAACACAGGAGGACAGGACAGACATCAGTGTAACACAGGAGGGACAGGACAGAGATCAGTGTAACACAGGGGGACAGGACAGAGGTCAGTGTGACACAGGAGGGACAGGACAGACATCAGTGTAACACAGGGGGACAGGACAGAGATCAGTGTAACACAGGGGGACAGGACAGAGATCAGTGTAACACAGGGGGGACAGGACAGACGTCAGTGTAACACAGGGGGACAGGACAGAGGTCAGTGTAACACAGGGGGACAGGACAGAGGTCAGTGTAACACAGGGGGACAGGACAGAGATCAGTGTAACACAGGGACAGGACAGACATCAGTGTAACACAGGGGGACAGGACAGACGTCAGTGTAACACAGGGGGACAGGACAGACGTCAGTGTAGCACAGGCAGGCATTCTTGCACAGCCGGGTAAGCTGTTAACGGGACGCACGTATCAGTGTTCGAGGCTCAGCTGCTGCGCTCCCAATCTAGCTTCCTGCAGATAGGCCTGGGGTGCAGTGGATGATGGCCCGAGTATTTGGGTGCCTTATCCCTAAGTAAGGGACATGTGTGGAGTTCCAGGCTCCTGGCTTCAGCCTGACCAAACTCCAGCTTTTGCAGGCATTTGGGGAGTAAAGCAGCAGATGGAAGATTTCTTTTGCTGTCCTTCTCACTCCCTCTGTCCCTCAGTCTTTAAATAACTATTTTTAAGAAACGAGAGATCAGTGTTGTATACTATGCTTCTGGAAATCAGATTGTGTTTCCTGAAAGTCTTTACAATAGAATCAGACACAACATGTGGGCAGAGGGACAGCAGGCAGATGCTATAGCAGAGTGGCGCTGGGGGCCAGCATTGTGGCATGGCAGGTGAACACTGCATCCCGAAGGAGCCCTGGTTCAAACCCAGCTGCTCCACTCCAAATCAGCTCCCTGCTAGTGCACCTGGGAAAGCAGTGGAGGACGGCCCAGGTGCTTGGGCCCCGCACCCATGTGGGAGACCCGGACGGAGTTCCTGGCTCCTGGCCCAGGGCCTGCTCTTGTGGCCATTTGGGAAGTGAATAAGCAGATGGTAGATCTTGCTCTCTCTCTCTCTGTCTCTGTCTCTCCCCTCACTCCTCTTTCCCTCCTCTCTCCATTACGCTACCTTTCAAACAAATAAATATAATATATAAAAAAAAAAAAAAAAAAGAAGAAGAAGAAGCAGAGCAGTGGAGCGGTCGGCGTGAGGGTGAGGAAGAGTGGCTCACGCAGCAGCCTTCCTCCTGGCCTCGGCAGGCTGTTGCCACCGCGGGGCCGTGGGTGCCAGGCTCGGGCGAGGGGCTTCTGCACGCTGCCTGTTGAAATCCCAGCGCCAGCCTGTGACGTGTTATCGCCTCCTGTTCATGCAGGAAGAAACAGACTCAGAGTAAGGCCGGCGGACTGCTGGCCACGCCCCTAGTACGTGGCAGAGGTCCGCTCGTGCCTGGGCCCCCGACCCCAGCCCGGGCAGGGTCTCTTCCGTGGGGCACTCTGGTCAGGAGAGGCTCCCCGTTCCTCTGGAAGAGGTCAGCAGTGTCGTGGCTGGTGGCTCTGGTGTGGCTTTCCAAAGACAGCCTTGAGGAGCAGGTGGGCACGGGGCAGGCGGCCACAGACCGCCCCTGAGGGCACCGCGCACCCTGGTGCGATTCCAGCACCGAGCCCGGAGAACCTGGAGCAGCCACTCAGGGCGATTTCAGAGGCCCGGAAGCCCAGCTCTAGGAGCCTCCTGGGCCAGACCTCTCCGCAGGGGCGGTCACGTCCCAGGGTGACGCGGTCGTGAGCGAGAGGACAGAACTCCACGTGCAGACCGGGAGCCGGGGCAGCGTGCGCTCTGCCACCCGCTGTGTGACCGCGTGTGTGTCGGATGAACCGACGCAGGGCCGGCAGGCACACAGCGGCCCTGGCGTGCTTCCCCAGAGACCTGCCCCTCTGTGTGGAGACCCCCCCCCCCTCCATTGCAGGCGCCAGTCTGGGCAGGGGCAGCCGCCCCCTGTGTGACGTCAGGAGGCCCCAGGTGCCTGCACCCCTGCCGAGCAAGCACCTGCCCCCTTCCCCGGGAACGTCGGCCACGTGGCCTGGCTGACCGTGCGGGCCCCCTTTGCCGCGCAGGTGGAACAGAGGCTCCGCCTGTTCAGGCTGGCGTCTGAGAAGCACCAGCACCTGTACCGCCTCGCCATGACCGGCGCCGGGATCGACCGGCACCTCTTCTGCCTCTACGTGGTGTCCAAGTACCTCGCGGTCGAGTCCCCGTTCCTGAAGGAGGTGAGGCCGCTTCCCGGGGCGGCTCCCTCGTCCACTGGTGGGCTCAGCACGAGTGCAGGCCTGCCGCCTGGCGCCTGGAAACGGGGGTGTGGGCTGCGGGGCGGGACGTGCGTCTGCAGCGCGGGCGCCGCTTGTCGTCAGTCCCTGGAGGTGTCTGCGGCAGGCTTAGCCCCTGATTCAACAGATACCTCTAACCTCGAGCTCTTTGTACAGAAGAGTGAAAATGAGAAGTGGTGTGCTCTGGGTGTTTATCATGCTATTTTTAGTATAATTTACTTAATTGTATGTTTACAGCATTTAATTTGCATAATGACCTGGACGATCCCTGAAAACAGCAGCCGCCTCCCTGCCCTGCTGAACGGCTTATCTGCCTCCTTCCCTGTCTCAGCTGGTGCTTGCTGGTGTTGAGCCCACCAAGGCCAATGCCCTCCCCACCTCACAGCCTCTGCAGGGCTCTGCCCTCAGCCAGTGAGGCCCGCGAGGGTCTGCAGCAGTCACAGGAGCAGCTGGGCGTTTTCTCGCCCTCCCTAGTGAAAGTGTCCTTCAGCGTTGTTTCCCACTTGACCAGGTGTTGGCCGAACCATGGAGGCTGTCAACAAGCCAGACGCCTCTGCAACACGTGGGGCTGTTTGACTTCAACAAGAACCCGGAGTACGTGTCCAGCGGAGGGGGCTTCGGACCGGTAAGTGCCCTGGGTGTCAGTGTTCACAGACGAGCCACACCCGTCGTCCCACTGCAGGCCGGCCTTGGCTCCAAGGGCCCCGTACCTGTTGGTGCACCGTGACGCAGCCGTCCATACGGACTGTACAGACATCAATGGGAGTCTTGTGTGTAGAGTATCAGGAAGTCCCTTTTTCACATCATGTCGTTTACCAACAATAACTTAACGTTGATGGTTCTGTAGGTTGCAGACGACGGCTATGGTGTGTCGTACATTATCGTGGGAGAGAACCTCATCAGTTTCCATATTTCCTCCAAGTTCTCCAGCCCCGAGACGGTAAGTAGGCGAAGAAGTTCCTTTTTCTAAAGAAGGGTTACTTTTCCTTTTTCTTTATAAGGGAGCATGTGGGGAGCAACTCGGACTAGACTAAGTTACTGGAATTAAGACTTATTCTATGCATCTGCTCTCCCACAATATGGCGCTGGGAGAGGAGGAAACAGCTTCTACGCAGCTGCCTCCAGTTCAACCAATAAACAGCAGGACCTGCTCCTGATTGGAGGAGAGCAGCGTGCTCGGCGTGTGGGTAGCAGAGTTGGGATTGGTGGAAGAGGACTATAAAGGAGGAGAGAGACAACATGCACCAGGAACATCTAAGAGGAACATCCAGGTAACATCTGAGCAGCCCCCAAGAGAGCCGGCCGGCGGTGTGCCGCTCCCCCGCGGAAGTGGGGAAAGTGGCAGGGGGAACTGCCCTTCCACGGAGGTGGAAGGGTTGGTAGCCAACCCGGGAAGAACCAGCAGCAAACCCGGGGAGGGCCGAGCAGACCAAAGAACAGTGCAGGGTCCTGTGTCGTTCCTCCACGAAGAGGGGGAGCGACAGGAGCACATCTTTCATTTGACAGAAATTTTTAATTCAGTTGTCTATTCCCTTACCAATACATGAGTTTAAAAATTCTCTTCATCTCTTAATGAAACAGACCTTATTTGGTTTAACATATTGATGTTTGCTGGAGGCAGTGGTTCTAAATCTTAATGGTGGGCTGCATTGGAACTTTCAAAATCTACAACACTTGGAATGTGGACCAGGAATAGTGTGCACACACCAGGAGGTTGACGTGCGCTGTGGACCGGGATCCTGGGGCCTGGGTGGGTGCAGCTGTGGGCTCCTACTCGCACGTTCAGTCCTGGTTCGTAGTCTCCTTCGCACACTGTGCTCCGCCTGCCAGGCATGCTAAGTCACTGCAGACAACAGAACTGGCACTCGTTTGCTCAGGGTTCACTTGATGCATTTATGACCTTGGGAGAAGCCTCAGATGCAAACACCCCACTCGACACACACTGTGGTCTTGCGCAGGGTGCCATCGGTGCAATGGGTCAACCTTGTTGGGAGGCTGCACCGCTGGGTCCACGTCCTGGCTCTGCTGTCCTAGTCCAGCTTCCTGTTAATGTACTCCCGGGAGGCAGCAGGAGATGGCTCAAGTACTTGGGTCCCTGCCACACACAGGAGAACCAGAGTGAAGTCCTAGCTCATGAGTCTGAAGGAATCAAACAACAGATGAAAACTCTGTCCTCCACTGTCGCTCCCCCTCTTCGTGGAGGAACAACACAGGACCCTGCACTGTTCTTTTGTCTGCTCGGCCCTTCCCGGGTTGGCTGCCGTCCTTCCACCTCCGTGGAAGGGCAGTTCCCCCTGCCACTTTCCCCACTTCCGCGGGGGAATGGCACACCGCAGGCCGGCTCTCTTGGGGGCTGCTCAGATGTTACCTGGATGTTCCTCTTAGATGTTCCTGGTGCATGTTGTCTCTCTCCTCCTTTATAGTCCTCTTCCACCAATCCCAACTCTGCTACCCACACGCCGAGCACGCTGCTCTCCTCCAATCAGGAGCAAGTCCTGTAGTTTATTGGTTGAACTGGAGGCAGCTGCGTAGAAGCTGTTTCCTCCTCTCCCAGCGCCATATTGTGGGAGAGCAGATGCATAGAATAAGTCTTAATTCCAGTAACTTAGTCTAGTCCAAGTTGCTCCCCACACTCCACTTTTCAGTTAAACTTCTAAATATAATTAAAGAATTTAAACTGCGGTTTCTATCATTCCCGTATTTCTCCAAAATGTCTAAGTTGATGAGTAGGTACCAACCACAGCTTAAAGAGTTGGCAACAAGACGTTTTTAATTGAACTCCTTGTCAGATTCCACGTGCAAGGACTTGAAACGCTGGGGGCCCGCGTTTCACGAGTCTCGTTTTCTGTCGCAGGATTCTCACCGCTTTGGGAGGCACGTGAAGCAGGCAATGATGGACATCATCGCCTTGTTCGGGCTCAGGTCCAACTCCAGGAAGTAGCCGAGTCCCTGAGCGGGGAGGCAGCGCGGGCCCTGTGGTACGGCCAAGCGAAACTTAGGTCTCGACCCTGCCCCCGTCCAGGACGGCTCAGTGCTCCTAGAAAACCCCGTCTCCTCCAGAGAGGAGCTGTCGCTTGTTTCCCTAGACGGCAGGCGCCACCGCGTGGCTGCAGCCCTGCTCCCAGGCGTGCGCCCGGGCAGGGAGGCGGCAGCCTGTGGCGTCCCGGCACTGCACGCACACTGGACATGGGGACGGCGACCACAGAGGTGACGCGAGCCCGCCACGGCATCCAGGCAGCGGGCACTGCTTTTGTCAAAGGAAAGGGTGTTCAGGTCGCAGGGGGGAGCTCACGCTAACACACGGACGCACGAACCGGACACGCCGCGCTCTGGAGCCAGGCGGTTGTCACCAGAGCTGCTGCCTGGTCTGTTCCAGGTTGTGTCCCCCCCAGGCCGCGGCTCTAGTGCCCTTGACCTCGCTCGCTTGTCCTCCAAACGCAGTGCCTTAGAATGAACTGCCCTGCATGGAAGGGCCGCTGGGTGACTTCCCTGGGGAGGCCTCGGGCTGGCATCGGGGGTGGGTCGCTCCCCTCGACTTTGAGTGTGGGTCACTCTGCGAAGCATTTGCCACAACCTCCCCACGCCTAGAAAGAGCAGAGCCCTCCGGGCCGGCGCTGCTGGGGCCACTGGAAGGGCTTCCCGTGCTCCCCGAGCCGCAGGGGGGACAGGCAGGGATGTGATGGCCGCTGAGCTGTCTGGAGAAGCCACTGACGGGTCAATACGACGGTGCTCACGGTCACTGCCTCTCCACACCATGGTCAAGAGGACAAGATGCGGGCCACGAGGCTGGGCCAGGGAAGGGCAGCCACACCGTGGCCAGTGGTTCACTTCCTCATCCCACCTGGTCGGAGGGAAGCCCCCTCTCCTTTCCAAGGAGCAGGAGCAGTGGACACAGGGCGCTGGGCCGTGCTGTGGCAGAGCCGCGTGTGGCCGTGACGGGTGCGGGGCGGACGCGGCGCGTCCTCCAGGCACCAGCCCTCCACGAGAGCGTCTGCCTGCGCGTGAGCTGCGCGCCCTGAGTCACCTCCCTGCGGTGCAGGTGCAGCCCCGCGGCCTCCAGGCGCGCAGTATTTCTGTGCCCCTCTGCCAGGGCCGAGCTGTCGGAGCCATTGAAGGAAGACGCTCGCGGGAGAAGGCAGGCAGGCCCGTTGATGTTCGCTGTGTGACGGGAACTGCCTCCTCCCTGGGCGCAGCCTTCATCTGTCTGTCTTGTTATCCTCCTACGGGGTCCCACGGCCAGGTAGCGCTGGGGCACTTGGACAGCCTGAGAGACCCAGACGGGCGAGGTGTCGGGGCAGGCGGCGTGCTGTCGCTAGGCTTCTGCATTGATTGCCGTGGACTTCCGCTTTCCTGGGACGGCGCCTGGCACAGGGTTGGCGCTCGGTCGACATGCTGAACGAGAGCAGGAGCCCCACGTCTTCCCCCTGGTCCAGGCGCTGGCCATGCAGCAGAGTCCCAGTCCTGGCGGTGGCAGCGGGACAGTCCTCCCAGGAGGAGTTTGTCTTAGAGGTCTAGGGGACCGCGGGCGGGGGTGGGGAGGAGTCGCTGGCCCCGGACGGAGGCTGATCTAGAGGGTTTGAGCTCGGTGACCAGGCTGAGCCACGTTGGCCCCCGGTGCAGCGCCAGAGCGCCAAGGGACAGCGGGTACAGGGCTCGAGGCTTGATGCTGACCGGCCTGGCGATCACAGGTGGATGTGCGCGGGGGCCTGGTGCCTCCCCGAAGCCGATGCGAGATCTCTGCTCCTCCGACAGTCAGTCAGTCAGTCATTTTCTTAAGAAGAAAGCAGTGGCTGATGGGGAATGAAGGAAGGTCCAGCCCCGCGGGCCGGTGTCTCAGGGCCTGAGGCTGCTCACGTGGGCTCTGGCTGCGTCCTGCGTCTTGTGGACGCGAAGCAGGCAGCTCGGGCCTGCCCGCACTCAGCAGTCACGAGCGGTCATCCAGCCATGAACAGACGGGGGCCCGGCACAGCCCTGCCCCTGGGCCCCGCAGGGAAGGCTGATGAGGCAGCGGGAGGGCTGGGCTCGGGAGCTCAGGGTTTCTGTGGGGTCCGTGTCAGGTACATCCGTGAGGGGGGCGTCCGCTGTCACCTGAAGTGGGCGCTGGGCGTGCTTTCCGTGGGCCCCGCCCTGCGGAGGAGGAAGTGGGGCCCGTGTGTTCCTGCCCCACGGGGCTGGACCTTGACCACGGGGTGGGCTGCGTTTCAGGTCGGGTGTGGTGGCTCGGCTGTGGCCCGCGGCCGGAGCATCCCCACAGCGAGAATTCAGTGCAGAGCGCCCTTCCGGGTCCGCTCTTAGGTCTAGCAAGCACGTGCTGGCCGTGCCGCTCGAATGCGTGTCCTTGCAGCCCAGAGCTGACAACCGGTGAGAACCTGGGGGTCGTTTGAACTCTGCCCCCCACAGCTCAGCAGCCCCTGTTACTCACCCTTGTGATTAGAAAACCAGCGTTGGGGCCGGCGCTGTGGCCTAGTGGGTAAAGCCTCTGCCTGCAGTGCCAGCATCCCATGTGGGTGCCAGTTCAAGTCCCAGCTGCTCCTCTTCCAATCCAGCTCTCTGCTGTGGCCTGGGAAAGCAGTGGAAGATGGGTCATGTCCTTGGGCTTCTGTACCGGCGTGGGAGACCCAGAAGAAGCTCCTGGCTCCTGGCTTTGGATCAGCACAGCTCTGGCCATTGTGGCCAATTGGAGAGTGAACCAGTGGATGGAAGATCTCTCTCGCTCCCTCTGCCCCTCCTTCTCTCTCTGTATAACTCTGACTTTCAAATAAATAAATAAATCTTAAAAAAAGAAAACCAGTGTTTTTGTTTTGCCCAAGCTGCACGTAGGACTAGGGTGAGCTCTGAGCCCCTCTGCTGTCCCTGGAACTCTGTGCTCTGGCTGGGCTCCCAGGCAGGTTGGGCCATCATGCTAAGCTGTTCTCTCTCTCGATTACAAAGTGGGAACAGCTGTTGGCCTCTGGGTCTGTGAGAGATGGGTTTCGCTCACCCTCACACAGAGGCTGAGGATTTAGTTGTATTTGGACTGAGAGGGTGGCAGGGTCCTCACAAAGCTGTGGGAAACAAACAAACAAACAAACAAACGAATGAATGAATGGGGCCGGTGCTGTGGCGTAGCAGGTAAAGCACCCCCTGCAACACCGGCATCCCATACAGGCGCCAGTTTGAGTCCCGGCTGCTCCACTTCTGATCCAGCTCTCTGCTAATGGCCTGGGACAGCAGCGGAAGATGGCCCAAGGACGTGGGCCCCTGCACCTACATGGGAGACCCAGAGGCGACTCCTGGCTCTCGGCTTTGGGCTGGCCCAGCTCAGGCCATTGCCACCATTTGGGGATTGAGCCCTGGATAGAAGACATTCATCTCCTCTCTCTCCTTCTCCTCCTCCCTTTGTAAACTCTGCCTTTCAAATAAATAAAGAAAGAAATCTTTTTAAAAAATCACATTGACAAAACATTGTGTGGGTTGCAGTTTTTCAGGTCTGTTATGTGTGACCCACCTGCTGCCTGGCGTGCATTGTAATACAATTCCATGGCACAAATATCCCAACAGCATGAAGAAAAGAGCACTCAGGGCCTGCTGTGGTGTAGTGGGTAAAGCTGCCACCTGCAGCACTGGCGTCCCATATGGGTGCTGGTTCGAGTCCTGGCTGCTCCACTTCCCATCCAGCTCTCTGCTGTGGCCTGGGAAAACAGTGGAGGATGGCCCGAGTGCTTTGGCCCCTGCACCCACGTGGGAGACCCGGAAGAGACTCCTTGGTCCTGGCTTCTGATCAGCCCAGCTCTGGCCGTTGTGACCATCTGGGGAGTGAACCAGTGGATGGAAGACCTCTCTCTGCCTCTGCCTCTCTCTGTAACTCTGCCTTTCAAGTAAAATAATAACTACATCTTTAAAAGTACAGAACAATCTTTGAGTGTCAGCTCTAAGTCCCAGAATAATTTTTAGGTAAGGGAGCTCCAGCTGCATCTTTTTTTTTTTTTTTTTTTTAAGATTTATTTATTTATTTGAAAGAGTTACACAGAGAGAGGAGAGGCAGAGACAGAGGTCTTCCATCCACTGGTTCACTCCCCAGTTGGGCACAACGGCCAGAGCTGTGCTGATCCGAAGCCAGGAGCCAGGAGCTTCTTCTGGGTCTCCCACGCGGGTGCAGGGGCCCAAGCACTTGGGCCATCTTCCACTGCTTTCCCAGGCCACAGCAGGGAGCTGGATCGGAAGGAGCAGCTGGGACTCGAACCAGCGCCCACATGGGATGCTGGTGCTTCAGGCCAGGGCGTTAACCTGCTGTGCCACAGTGCCGGCCCCTGCGTCTGTTTTAATGCTTTAACCCCCCTGTCCAATTTCACTGAGCCGAGTTTTCCTGGGTTTTGTTTGTTTGTTTGTTTGTTTTTTAACAGTTAAGCGTACAGCTAAATAGCATGTAGTATCTCTGATTTGGTTTCTACCCTGTGACTTCTTAACGTAATTTTTATGTGTGATATTAGAAAACTGATGTTTTTAACTTATTTTTACAGAAACAATACGTGCGTGGAACAGCAGTGAGCCTCTGCCAGCTCAGACTCCCGGGCCTGCCCTCCGACTCCCCGGCTCCCCCCTCCGCCCACCGCTGCCCGCCCCCCGCCGCCCACCGCCGGAGGCTGACGGCTTAGCGGTATTTATTCTGATGTAAAAAGGCGAAGACCGCTCTCTGCACTCCCAGTGCCCACGAAAGCAGGGGATGGCCCGGCCCCAACTACCCGAGCCCTCACCCGCTGCTCCAGGGTCTGCATTAGCCGGCCGGCTCCTGGTACCCCAGGCCGGGGTGCGGGTCTTCCACTGAGCAGTCCCCAGCCCAACACCAACGCTGACCAGGAACGCCAGTGCCCGGCGACACGCTCGTGCAAAAGGGCAGGCGAGCTGGGACGCGCACGTGCGAGCCCCCCGCGCCCAGGGCGCTCCGGGCGGGGCTCTGCCGACAGCTCCCCCTGCTGCACACGGCGTCGCGGCCCCACCCCCAGGCCCGCCCATCGCGCCCCCGGCCCCGCCTTCGTTCCGACCCCGCCCACCTGCGGGTCCATCTCCGCCCACTTCGCCGCGTGCCCTACCCACAGGCCCCGCCCTGGCTCCGCCCACTCCCCCAACGGTCAACCGTGCCTGGCGGGCGGCGGGCCAGCGCTTGGCCTCCGCGGTGGGTGCGGGCAGCCCGAGGAGGCTGCGGGAGACCCCGGGCCCAGCGTTGGGTCTGCAGGCAGGGAGGGGGAAGAAAGGCCCAGTCAAGCTTTCGGGAAGGCGCGGCCCCGCCCCGGGCGGTTCCAAGGGAGTGGCCGGCCGCCGCCTCCCCGGAGCGCCTGTGGCAGGTGCGCGGCCCGGTGGGACCCGGCCGGAGCGGAAGCGGGGTGCCGCCCTGCCTGCTGCCCGGCTGTGGCCATGGAAGAGGCCCCGCTGCTGGGCGCGATGCCCAGCCCAGAAGATGAGATGGTGACCGACCTCTTCAGCCCCGAGGGTCAGTTTGTGCCCCCCGCGCCCGTGAAGCACGAGGAGGACGAGTTCCACGTGTTCAGAGACGCCTACCTGAGCGCCACCGAGCCCCAGGGGCCGCCGCTGCGCGCGCTCAGCCCCACGCTGGGCGCCGACTGTCCGGCCAAGGCCCAGGTGGAGCTCCTGGTGCAGGACGAAGACGAGGAGCAGCTCCTGGGCGAGCGGCCGGGCCTTCCCGACCTCCACGCCCTGGAAGACGCGGCGCCGCTGGCGGCTGCACAGCCGCACGCCTACAACGTGCACTTCCTGTCCTCGCTGCTGGCCTCGCACCGCAGCCCCGCGGTGGTGCCCCTGGGGGCCTGGGCCAGGGACGGAGCCGCCCACCCCGGGGTGCGGGTGATTCCAGTAAGAGCCTCAGGGACAGGCACGGCACCCTCCCCCGCCCTTCCCCCCACGCACATAGGTGCACCCCGCCGACTCGGCACCCTTGTACATAGTGCACCCCGCCGACTCGGCACCCTTGTACTAAGTACACCCGCTGACTCGGCACCCTTGTACTAAGTACACCCCGCCGACTCTGCACCCTTGTACATAGTGCACCCCGCCGACTCGGCACCCTTGTACTAAGTACACCCGCCGACTCGGCACCCTTGTACTAAGTACACCCCGCCGACTCTGCACCCTTGTACATAGTGCACCCGCTGACTGGGTACCCTTGTACATAGTACACCCGCTGACTGGGTACCCTTGTACTAAGTACACCCGCTGACTCGGCACCCTTGTACATAGTACACCCGCTGACTGGGTACCCTTGTACTAAGTACACCCGCTGACTGGGTACCCTTGTACTAAGTACACCCGCTGACTCGGCACCCTTGTACATAGTACACCCCGCTGGTTCCCTCGCCACGCCCCGGGGTCGGGGACTCAGAGGCTGGCCCAACCGTGCAGACAGCTGATGACCAGAGTGTAGCAAGCTCCGGCTACCTGGTGTGTGAGTGAGGCTTCCGTGTTTGGCGTTTGTAGTACACGGCAGGACTCAGGGTGAGCACCACCTCTCAAATTATAAAGAATGAACTAGAACACTAAACACAAGCTATCGAGCAGTGCCGGGTCAGCGGGCCAGGGACTTAGGGGAGACTAAGCCGGCCTCAGCTCCGTCGCAGTAGGGGCTGCAGAGGGGGGGACGGGCCGGGACCCAAAGGACCCCTTCTCAGGTTCTAGACGGCGTGTCTGAAATGGCGCCAGTTCCACATCCCCAAGACTGGGGGGGGGGGGGAGTTGGGTCCTCAGAGTCCCCAGCCGGGTGAGGCGGGGCCTTGTCCCAGCTCCTTGTCCCCTGGTCCACGCCCTAGTGTAGGAGCCCCAGCGAGGGGGAGGCGCTGAGGGAGGGGGCTGCTCCTTGAAAGTGGCGCTGCCCCGGACCTCTGCCGGGGGGGGGGGGGCAGCGTGCAGGGCGCGTTCTCACCGTGATGGTCACTTTCCCTAGGTTGAAGTAAAGGAGGCTGGCGGTGCTGCCACCAGCAGCAGCCCGGAGGGAGCCACTTCTCAGAACCCGCTTGCCCAGGAGTCCTGCTGCAAGTTCCCATCGTCCCAGGAAGCAGAGGAAGCCGCCAGCGCATCGCATAAGAAAGACTCAAGCCCCATGGTAATGGCTCCAGAGAAGGCGGACCAGAGGGTCTGCTAGCGCGGGGCCCCTCCCGAGCCGAGCTGCTCCCTGTCCCTGTGCTCACTTGTGGGGTCAGCGGTTGCGGCTGCTTCCTCTCTCGGAGTCTCTCACGTCCCACCTCCAGGAGTGTCTCCTTGGCCTGGTCACAGCAGCCGAGGGAGCCCAGGGCTGGCGGCGCGGGGCGGGGCGGGGGCGGGGCGGGGGCGGGGGCTGTGGCTCTCTGGCTGGGGACCGAGGCTGTGTCCTTCTTGAGTAGGATAGGTAATCAGTCTCGCCTGTGGCCCACGCGCCCTCTGCACCTTTGCGATTTCACTGCGTGCTAACAGCTCTGTGGGGCAGGCCTTCTTTTGACCCCCATCTTGTGGGTAAGAAAACAGAGATGTTCGCGTAATCGGACGTGTCTGTGGGAAAGACTAGCGATGGGAGCCAGGACCCTGCGGTTAGCGTTCCTCCATCAGAGTGCCTGGCTGGAGTCCTGAGAACCAATGGTCGTCTTCCCTCGGGCAGTTCTTTGTTTCTAGAAATGAGATCCTGGCCCCAAAGCCTGCAGGGGTGGAGAAGGACTGGCCCACGGGGACTTGGACCTGCCAAGGCAACACAGGGGAACACGAAATTCAGTAAATCGACAGCAGGCTCATCTTTAAGTTGATAGTGCTGCCAAAACTATCCAGTGGCCCTTGGCAGAGCACAGGTGCTCATGGTAACAAGAAGGTGTTGGGGAATGAGCTCGCGGTGGACTTTGGATGGGCTCTGGTGTGTGCCGGTCACCACCTCTCTGTCTGCAGTTCCACTCGGGGCCGCGGCCTGCAGAGCAGAGCCTTCCAGGCCCCAGACAGGTCAGAGGACGAGAGCCCTGATGCCCCTAGACTGGAGAGTGGCGTTAGCCCAGCCCAGAGGGAGGAGCCCAGGTGTGTGCACTACAGAACGTTCTGGAGTGGCACTCGGAGTCTCGCCCCCAGTGTGGTCTCGTGTTCGGTAGCTGCAACTTTCTCTCCAGATGCAAATCGAGTTCTCCCGGAACACGGATACTGGGTTCCTAGCAAGTGGCCGGGTGACCAGACGCCCTGACCCGATGGCCTGCACCTTGCTACCGTAATAGTCTGTGTCTGCTTTGGTAGCTTGGTCCTTTATGCCTGTTTGGGTTTTCCTAGTAAGAGTATAAGCAACTTAAGGGCGGAAGCCACAACCTCTCAGGTGCTGAGGTTTTGTCGTCAGAACTGGAGGCTGTGTGCAGGCAGAGACCACAACCTCTCAGGTGCTGAGGTTTGTCGTCAGAACTGGAGGCTGTGTGCAGGCAGAGACCACGGCCTCTCAGGTGCTGAGGTTTGTCGTCAGAACTGGAGGCTGTGTGCAGGCAGAGACCACGGCCTCTCAGGTGCTGAGGTTTGTCGTCAGAACTGGAGGCTGTGTGCAGGCAGAAACCACAACCTCTCAGGTGCTGAGGTTTTGTCGTCAGAACTGGAGGCTGTGTGCAGGCAGAGACCACAACCTCTCAGGTGCTGAGGTTTGTCGTCAGAACTGGAGGCTGTGTGCAGGCAGAAACCACGGCCTCTCTGCATCTGTGTCCATACGGCTTGGCCTGGACGGGAGCTGGGCACACAGGGAGCTCCCTCGATGCTTTTGCTTGGCTGAAGGATTGAAGACAGACTCGCCCAGCTGCCGAGGATCCATCGTGATCGGAATTAGATAGATGGGGGGGGGGGGGGCGGCGCCGTGGCTCACTCGGTTAATCCTCCGCCTGCGGCGCCACCATCCCATAGGAGCGCCGGTTCTAGTCCTGGCTGCTCCTCTTCCAGTCCAGCTCTCTGCTCTGGCCCAGGAAGGCAGTGGAGAATGGCCCAAGTGCTTGGGCCCCTGTACTCATGTGGGAGACCAGGAAGAAGCTCCTGGCTCCTGGCTTTGGATTGGCGCAGCTCTGGCCGTTGCGGCCAATTGGGGAGTGAACCAACAGATGAAAGACCTCTCTCTCTGTCTCTCCTTCTCACTGTCTGTAACTCTACCTCTCAAATAAATAAATAAAATCTTAAAAAAAAAAAAAAGTAGATGAATGGATAGAATTAATCAGGCCCCGGAGGTGGCCGTGCTTGTTAGACTTTTCCAGTTCTTAGATCAATGTTCCTAAGCTGTAGGAACAAGACAAACGGGCATTTTTTAAGATTTAATTTTTTATGTATTTGAAAGGCAGAGTTAGAGGAAGGGAAGGGAGAGGGAAAGAGAAAGGTCTTCCGTCTGCTGGTTCACTCCCCAGATGGCCACAACCGCCAGAGCTGGTTCACTCTCCAGATGGCCACAACCGCCAGAGCTGGGCCAGGCTGAAGCCAGGAGCCTGGAGCTTCCTCTGTGTCTCCCAGGTGGGTACAGGGACCCAAGCACTTGGGCCATCTTCTGCTACTTTCCCAGGCCATAGCAGAGAGCTGGACCGGAAATGGAGCAGCCAGGCCTCCACCAGTGCCCCTATGGGATGCCGGCATCGCAGGTAGTGATTTAACCTGCTCTGTGGCAATGCTGGCCCCACAGATGGACATTTTTAAACTACGTTACTGCATGTGTGGGTGGCAGACAAAAAAGCCATAGTAAACTCAGGTCATCCCAAGCATGTGTCCAGCTAAAGGCAGGGTGCCAAGGGACACAGACTGACGCAGGTCCGCAGGGGATGAGTGTGGGGACAGCTCCCAGCCCCATTGGTATGGACCGCAGGGTTCAGGACAGGTGAAGGAAACGCCTTCGATTGAGTGTCCGCATCAGACACCTGTGGAGAAAGGCCGGGTTTGAGAGAACGTGCCGTGTAGACGAGAAACCCAGAGCGCATGTGCAGCCTTCCAGCCAGTCTGGATTACCGCCGATTTCCACGTGGGCGTTACCGGAGTGATGTGTTCTTCGTTCCAGGTGGTATGCCAGCTGAAAGGGGGCACACAAGTGCTGTGCATAGACAATCCTGGCACGAGAGAACTGAAGGCACTGCACCTGCTTCCCCAGTATCAAGACCAAAGTAGTCACCTGCAACCAGGTACAAAGTAGATCAATCAACAGACGATGTCAAGCAGCCGGTGTGAGTTTGTGAGGGCAGATGTTTGACTTTGTGTGTATAGTAAAAGGGTTATTAAATAGGCAATTTGGCAAACTGCCCAGCCCACGCTTAGGGGCTAAGAATAGAACAGACTCCAGACTAACTTTTCTGCATCGTGTTGAATTCCCCATTCCTGACCCCAGCCCCACGTCAGCGAGGGGCAAAGAGCTCTGTGACCCTAACGGGAGGCCTCATGCCACCTCTGCTTGTCACTGGCTCCACAGGAGCTCTGCCTGAACGAGCCCGGGGGACCCCTCAGCCCGTCCTGAGGGGCAGGGCGGGCTGCCTGCTGGGGTGTCGACACAAAGCACCTGCGTTCTCCTGCGGACGTCTCAGGGCAGCCGGTGGGAACAGCACCCTGCCTTAGCCCCGTGGGCTCTGCAGTGACTGTCAAGTGGTCTGTCTGGAATTCACCCTCGCAGAAATTCCTTTGAACTGACTTAGTAATGAAGTGACCTGTAAGTGCACGGCCATCCTGAAATGCCGTCTGAATGGTTCAAGTACGATGAAAAGAGTTTTATGATTTGTAAGTTAGGACAGCATTTCTGGAGAACTGGCACTTCTCTGTGGACTGCACACTTCCATGTTACTCTGGGTCTTGCTTGGGTTACTCAGAGTATTTCTTATCAGGTGACTGATTGACTCTGACCATAACTAAAACCAGTTTCTTTCTTTCTTTTTTTTTTTTTTTTTTTGTAAGATTTATTTATTTGAAAGAGAGAGAGAGAGAGAGAGAGAGAGAGAGGTCTTCTATCTGCTGGTTCATTCCCCAAACGACCACAATGGCCAGAGCTGCGCCAATCCAAAGCCAGGAGCCTGGAGTTTCCTCTGGGTCTCCCACGTGGGTGCAGGGGCCCAAGGACTTGGGCCATCTTCCACTGCTTTCCCAGGCCATAGAAGAGAGCTGGATCAGAAGTGGGGCAGCCAGGACTCGAACTGGTGCTAATATGGGATGCCAGCACTGCAGGCAGCAGCTTTACCCACTGCAGCACAGCACTGGCCCCTGAAAACCAGTTTCAAAATTAGATGTCGGCCAGTGCCGCGGCTCACTAGGCTAATCCTCCGCCTTGCGGCGCCGGCACACCGGGTTCTAGTCCCAGTCGGGGCTTCAGATTCTGTCCCAGTTGCCCCTCTTCCAGGCCAGCTCTCTGCTGTGGCCAGGGAGTGCAGTGGAGGATGGCCCAAGTGCTTGGGCCCTGCACCTGCATGGGAGACCAGGAGAAGCACCTGGCTCCTGGCTTCGGACCAGCGCGATGCACCGGCCGCAGCGGCCATTGGAGGGTGAACCAACGGCAAAAGGAAGACCTTTCTCTCTGTCTCTCTCTCTCACTGTCTACTCTGCCTGTCAAAAATAATAAAAAAAAAAATTAGATGTCACTTCATTGGCGTTGAGAGAAAAAGCGTGGCCCCGCGCATCCCCGTTCCATCCTGAGAGCCGCTTTATTCAGGGACAGAGGCTGCGGGAAGCCATTTCTCTCGTCACTGTAAGCTGGGGTGGGGCTTTGGTCTCGAGGAGCCCGTGACAGTGCACGGCCGTGGGTTTCCTATGGCTCAGTCTGTGGCTGCGACCCCTCCCCAGGCAGGGAGACCGTCTTCCCTCCTTCCCTCTTGGTGGCACCCTAGAGATGACAACGTCCTAGAGATGACAACGTCCTAGAGATGACAACGTCCTAGAGATGACAACGTCCTAGAGATGACAACGTCCTAAAAATGCCTTACGGTCTGCAGAGGAGAGGATGTAGATATTGTTTTCCAGTTCTGTCTCCTCGCCCTGTAATCACTGCCCAGATTCCTGCCACAGTCCGTGGATTTTAGACAACACAAGCTAAATGCCTCCCATTGCCCAGATCCAAGTCCCCTCGCTGAGAGGAAGCGTGAGCCAGGAGCAGGAAATGCGGCTGGACTGCCGGTCCTCGGAGTGGAGGACGCGCTTCGCTTCCCACCGAGGAACCCAGAGCGTTCTTCGTGGTGCCAGTAGGCGAAAACAAAACAGAGCACAGAGCCCTGTCAGCTCCAATATTAAGTACTTTTTCAATAGTTTAGTAACTATTTTACCCTGACAAGTCAGTACCCAGTTGCATAAGAAAAGACACATAAGTTGAAAGTGCTTCTCATGGTGTGCTCTTGTGAGCAGGGAGCTACCCAGTGGTGCTGGGCAGCTTGCTGTGGCACCCTAGGGCCCTCCTCCCCCTCAGCCTGGGAGCTGGGTGCTAACAGCTTGACACAGCAGACTACCCCAGTAAGGTCCTGTCGACGAGCTTTATGATAAAAAGAAAAAGAAATGATTGTGTAATAAGTAAAAGTGATTAGACTGGCCCAAGGTCTTACAGAATAAAAGCATGAGGAGGGTCAAGATAAGCTTCGGTGACTGAGCATGATGCAGCATCAGGCGTTGCTGCGCTTTGTCCCGCGTGCAGGTGGAGGGGCGTGAGGTCTGCCCTCCATCCATTGGTACTGTCTTGCTTTCAGATGGGCCCAAACCGATGACGACTTTCGTGGGAAGATTTCTGCCAGTCCCAGCAAAGCTAAATCTCATTGCACAACAAGTGAGTCATTTTAATTTTGAATATACGTTGGGCATCATGTCCTCTTGACATTTGAGTTGTTTCGGTATTACTGATGACCTGCCATTTAACCCATGGGCGAGACATTCACGTGCGTGGGGTCCTCATCACAGCTTGCACACCGGGGGCGACTGGACGAGGCCTCAGCCCCACTGCTTCCTCAGCTATGATTGGCCCATTCCTCTGGTCTGCAGACCATCAGCTGCCCACGGTGCCCCCGTGCCCTCTGCGGGCCTCCTGTCGGCACTCGTCTGCTACTCGGTACAGAAGACCCTCAGCTTCCTCACTCTTACAAACATGCTTTTCTTGAAACTTTGTTTTGAGATTGTACATGATGGACATACAATACAAACAAGAGAAGTGCATTAGAGAACAGCTTTCCTATCTCCCCACTGTACACAGCCAGACTGTTCCCTCGTCTGCGCCGCGCGGCGACTGTCATGTTCTGTGTTCCTCTCCGTGCATCCTCCCATGGCACGCGGGCTCCTCAGGAGCAGAGCGTGTGTGGGGGCAGGATTGAAGAAGCGAGACAAAGCACACTACCCTACTGTCATACCCCACGTCTCAGGGAAGGGACAGACAAAACGCAGACCTGGAGACGAGGCACTTCTGTGAGGAGAGCGCAGGAGCCGCCTGGAGGCTGAGGGCTGGGAGGGGAGGGGCAGGCCGCAGGCTTCCGCGCGGCGCTCGTGGCTCTGGAGAAGCTGACCACGTGCGCACAGTCTAGAAAGGACGAGAGAGCACGTGGCCATCACAGGAGACGCGCTGTGGGCAGAGGAACCAGCACACACCTCAGGCCAGCAGTGAGCCTGGCGGCGTCCAGGAGGAGAGGAGGAGCCTGGGCTCTCCCGGGTCTGGAAAGGGGCTGTGGGTGGGCAGGAGGGACGAGGTGGGGCAGGTGAAGCTGCTGGCTCCGCTGGCAATGGCACGGTGGAGGTGGAGTTCCGAGCCAGGGAGCAGAGATCTCTGAGGGAGGGTGTGGACAGGGTTCAAGTGCAGAAGGAAATAAACACTTCCCTCGCCATGTGCTAGCCTGCAGGGAGAGCATCGGGCAGTGCAGGGGGAACCCAGGTAGGCCGTGTCTGTGGGCCCCGGGATGCGGTCTCTGCTGGTTCTCACAGGACGTCCGCCTGAGACCCAGCACCCCGCTGCCGTCCTGTCTTCACGGGCTCAGCCGTCACCAGGAAGACGCACACTGCACTCGCCCTTCCGCCTCCATGTCTTACCCCCAAGCCCCTGTTTGGCCACAGCCCCCTGCCTTTCCACGCTCCCCATCCTCCCTCGACTGTTTATTGTCCCACGTTGAGCCGCCTGACTTCTATCCGTGTGGCCCTGAGGGACAGTTAGCCGTGCATTTGCTGTGGCCTGGGAGCCCTTGCCCCTTACAGACTCCCGATTCTCCATGCTCTTCTGAGTCTCCCTGCTCAAAGCGTGGGGTACAGACCCTGAGAACAGTCGGTACCTGGAGGCTGAAGAGAGGCCAGGGCCCCCGCCCCCACCCCCGCCCTGAGCTGCAGACCCAGCACTGAAACACTCCCGGGAATCGTGAACACAGGGGTCTGAGAGGCCCGCCTTGGAGTCTACTTTCCGCACTCCTAGTGCCAGCCGTGGCTGAAGGAACTCCGGGGTTGCAGCATGAAGTTGCCCCAGACGTATGACCTAACGCATGCCCACACGACATAGCTTTCCCCCTGCTTTCCTTGGGACTAAGTAAGCAAGGGGGTGGGTGAATGGAATTGTACCTACTGTGTGCAAAGAACTGCCTCAACACCAAGGGCTGTGAAATCCTTCCTCCCGAAGGAGCAGAGCTCAGACGGGCAAGTGCAGACAGACCCAACAGGTGGTGTCTGGCTGACCGCAGTGGAGACGCCGGTCTGTCCCCTGTGAGCCCTTCCCTCCCGGCTCCCAGCCAGGCCAGGTGGGGTCTGGGGCGAAGCCCTGGGACTGCGCTGTGCTGTGTGAATGAGGGAGTTTGACTTCCTCAGGGTGACTCCTCCCTCCGTGTCAGCAGTGATTACACACGGTTTGAGATGGGGGCAGAGGGAGTAAGCAAGGCTACTGGACGGTGGACGCGACAAAGATGGGCTGGGTCGCTGGGATTCACACAGTAACCATCTCTAATCCTATTGTGTGCAACGCTGTGACTGTCAGCTCGGAGAGGAAGAGCACTCAGACAGGGACGCTTCGCGACCCATCTGTTTCCCTGTGAGCAGCCTCTGGGCCGTGCTCGTGAGATACAGGGACAGGAAGTGAGAACTGGGAGCAGAGGCATGGAGGACGCGTGATTATGGCACTGCTTCTCAGCTCATAGCACTGCAAATTAGTTTCTGGAAAAATGAAAAAGAGTGGTTGCCAGTGGATCTTCCCGTGGCAGACCTCTTGTGCTCGTTATTACTAATGCTTAAGGAACATTTGCAGTTTATGGAGTTGCTCATGGGAGTCACTTATTTCCAAACCAGTACTTCATAAAAATGAGAGTTCTGTGACAAGCTCCGTGGCCAGCCGACTGGCGGCTGTGCGTTCTGCTTGCTGGCTTGACAATGGTCGCCCTGCGTCCCTTCTCCCGTCCTCTTGGTGTGCACAATGCGGGCTTTCTCCCGCCCTGGGCATCCTGTGGCCAGGTGGGTTGTTGATGGCCTTGGCCCTAGAACCTGCTCAGCGGTCAGGAGGCTCACAGTGGTGACGGGGGTCGGACGTGGTTATAGAGGGATTGGGCCATACACCTGCAGAAGGACAAGAATCTCCTCTGTCTGTACCTAGGGGCTGGTGGCTGGAGCTTGACCCCACACACTAACGCACAGGCTCTTGCCTTTGGTTCACACAGGTGGATAACGGAGCCCTCCCGGCAGTCCTCAATGGGCCTGCGTTCCCCTCCAGCTCAACTCTTCCAGGACCACCCAAAATCGCTTTGTCTGGGTAAGGATTCTAAACAATCAGTTGTCGCTTAGTTAATGTAAGCGTTTAAGAGGCATTTGTGTACATCTGGGGTTTTCTTCTGTGCGCTGAAATTCGGTTCCACTGCACACCTTCGTGTCTCTGAAAGGTTCGTTTCCGCCGTGAGACACGGGAGCCACGTGGCTGTTCACATGTGGTCTGTGGTTGCTGGGAAGGCAGCTCTCTGCATGCTTGCATGCGACAGAGCTGGCCTGTGGCCGTGTTTCAGACGCCATTGACAGCTCTGTCTGGGTTGCCCATGGCTGCAAACTGTGCCGACGTACTGGTTCTTGGCTGTCATCAGCGTCAGGATCGCAGTGTCCACCAGGAGGCGTGCAGGGTGGTTGGCCGAGATCCCTCCCGGCTGCCGGCACTACCCGCCCTCCCTGCTCAGGTGGCCCACGTCCTATGGCAGGTGCTAGTGAGCGAGTCTAGTCCTGTAGTCTACCCTGTAGGCTAGAGGCGGGTGTGGGCTGCATTGGCCCAGGCCCTTGTCTTGCCGTTTTAAAGTCGTGTTTGTGATGGTGCCCGAGACCCCACGCTGGTTGCAGCTCTCTGTTCAGCGAAGGTCGTGTTCCCACAGTGGTCTGGCGGCCCTTTCTGCTCGCTGCTTTCTGTGTTTGATTATGGAGCTCAGTCTCTTCTCCTCCCAGAGCTTTTGGCCCACAGTCCAATGCGGGGACCCGGGGCCTGAAGGCAGCAGGGCCAGCACCTCAGGAAATGAAGCCCACGGCCTCCTGTGCTTCGCAGGGTTCCACCGCGGGGCACAACTTCCCCACGGCCTTGGCAGTGCAAGAGCTGTTGGGGGCAGGAATGAAAGCTGCCCAGTGGCCACTTGGTGGGACTCTTGGAGACTAGCGAACCCATCAGCATTTCACCTCTGCCTTGTCCTGGAGGCAGGGGCGCTGATGTGGGCTGTGCACGGTCGGAGCAGGCGCCCTCCAGCTGTGGCAGCCGTGCGCGGGCGGTTCCTGACTCGGTCATCTGAAGGAGCAGGGCTGTGTGGAGCCAGCGGCCTCCCTGTCCTGGTGCGGCGGTCACTGAGGGTCAGTGGTGTGGCCACTGGTCATCGCGGGTGGCTGGTAACGCTTCTGGGTGGAACAGGGACCTCAGCAACTTCTAGACTCTGCTCGCAGCGTCACGTCCTCAGGAACGTGCGTGTTAGGGCCCTCAGGAGGGCGTGGGCGTGGGTGCAGCGCGCTGCTCGGGCTTTGTCCCGCGTGGACATCGGAGGGGCTGGCGTTTCCGTGACTTTGCTGCGCGGAGCGGGTGCTTTCCTGACGCAGGCGTTCGCAGCCCACGTGCGCTCTCACAGAGGTCTGCGTGCAGCCTGGTCCTCCTCCCCTTCGCTCTGCTCGGGCTCCCCGTTCATGGCTCCTCCTCACCCCCCTTCCTCCCTACCCCATCCGGGCTTTTCTCACACATCTCACACTTCTGTATTTTGGTGGAGTTGTGCGAGTTACAAGGGTTTTCTGCTACAAATCATCGGCCAGGAACACCGCGAGTTTGGTGTTTGTGTCTTTTTCTGGAAATGACTCCCTGCTCTCTGTCGTTCCACTGAGCCAGCTCTGGTGATTTTCCGTCAGTGCAGAGTTCGGATGGCGTTGTGGCATCTCCACCAAGTTAGGAATTCAGCAAGGGGCAGCCGGTGAGCCGCTGCCGGGTGGTTTCCCTCTGTGAGTTCCCGGCCACCACTTGTTTGTCCATCTCTGTACCGCCTTCTGCACTCCGTTAGCCCTCTTGGGCTTCTACAAGATCTGAGGTTGCACTAAGTCTGCAGGTGTCAGAAAGGAGGTCAGCGCAACACGGGTCACACACACTAACCCGGCGGGCGACACACGCAGGTCAGCCTGGCCCTGAGGCTGAGTGTGAGAGAGGTCTGACCCGACCGTCATTCCTTAGGACTGGGTGATGACCTGGCTAACTTGTTAACTGGCTTCTCATAGTTAAATAGGAAAATTGATAAAAATTCACGTTCTGCTAATTCGTGGCTTTCATAATGTGGTTGTAGTCAAGTAATAAATGTGAGTGCTGACACATATTCATGGTCTTCACAAAGACATGCGTTGGAGCCGCTTCTCCGGAAATGTTCCTGAAGCGGAGGTCTGTGTGCGGTCACTACTGTTCTGTGTGATGCTTTTCCGAGGCGGGGTCTTCAGGCCCTCTAACCCTTTCTACTCTCGGGTTTTCAGCTCGGCACTCAGAGAGGTCAAATATTGTTAGAGCCACGGGCATTTTCCACTTAGCTTCCGTGGCACCAGCTGGACTTGCTGCTGTCCCACAGTCATCTGCGCCCATCTGTAACCGAGGTCTTTGCTCATGCAGTGCTTTCTACAGAAACATCCTCTTGTCCCACAGCAGGGACACCTCCACTGTCAAAGTTGCTGTCAAGTTCCACCTCCCGCTAAAGCGCTTTGTTTCAACGTCTTTCATCTGTAGTAACTGTGCTGACCCTGTTATGGAAGATTTCAATCAGTAGAGAAGCAATTTGACGGTTAATACTGTTTTATGTTCCCTAGTTAGTCAGTCCTGTGTCACATGTCCCTGATTACTTGATGGATTTCTCCAAGACAGGCGCCATATAGTACAAAGATGTTTATTTCTGGAGTCCTCAGAAGCACTTGTCACAGTCGTGGCCCGCAGTGGCCCCTCATTCCGTGCCAGCTGGCCTCCTCCTAGCATCGTGGATGTGCATCCACCCGCCCTCTCTGCTTCCTGGGTCCTAGCAGGTGCTCACGGGAGTCTCCACAAAGCCCCAGCTGCTTTCTAAAGGAGAGAGTTCTGTTTCCTCTGGACAGCAAGTGAGAGGGTGCCCCATGGCCCAGGTCAGCACGGGTCTGAAAGGGCTGTGGGCAAGAGCAGTGATGCGGGCGTGAGAGCCCCTCCTCTGAACTGCTCGGGGCTTCCCTAGGAGTGGACGGGCCAGGAGGGGAGAGCTGGACATGCTGCCTCCTAGGAGTGGACGGGCCAGGAGGGGAGAGCTGGACATGCTGCCTCCTAGGAGTGGACGGGCCAGGAGGGGAGAGCTGGACATGCTGCCTCCGGCGCCCACAGGGCCACAAACCACCCACTCTTCTATTTAAAAAAAAAAAAAAAGCCCACGCTAGACAAGCACTAAATTCATAGAGCGTCCAGTGGCATAATGTCGACAGTGGGAGATGTCCTCAGAAGAAGTCACAGTTTGCCCCTTGGTCATTATCAGGGACGTTAGCAGTGTTCCTCTGGGGGAGGGGCAGAAGGGGAGAACAGTGAAGTGCAGGTGGAATCCGTGCGCGTGCAGACAGCAGGGTAGGCTGAGTGTTGGGGATCTGGGCCCGGTGTCTGTAGAGACAGTTCACCAAGAGAGCTGGGTGTGTGGGACCCAGAGCGCAGAGCCCGGGGGGAAAGGGTGTGGCTGTATTAATTGGCTCCACGTAGCTGACAGCAGGGAGCTGTTGCCTGCTCTGTATGCGGACACACGACTGTCTGCAAGCATCAACCATGTGCCAAGTGCTGTTCTGGTTCTGTGGAGAACCCAAGGCCCAGATGTGCCCTTGCCCTGAGGATCCAGGGCACAAGAGACGCTGCTTGCACACTTGGTCCCCGGGAGCACACTTGGCCATCAGGACAGGCACGCACCCCCTCAGTGCCAGGAAGAGCCCTCAGCACAGTGGGCCCCTCCTTTTCACCATGACCGTTCAACTTCTCCCGTGACTGATCTCCCCGTTCCCCTAGTGAGCGTCACTCTGGGCAGTGCCTGGGGACTCTCCCGACGCGGCTGCCCCTGTGGTTACAGCTTCCCCGAGCACAGGGGAGGAGTTTGTGTCCGTGCTCCAAGGCCCCTGACGATGCTTTCCGGCTAATCCACAGCGACATTAGGAGAGTTGTCATTATCCCTTCCCAAAACAAGTGCAGCCACCAATGCGCGCATGAACACTCAGTGTGCAGTGTTGCTGGTGATCCTGGCGCGCGGCCAGCTCCTCACTGGTGTGACAGGCTCTGGGTGAAGGTTCTTCTCTCCTCCGGTTTTTACTGCATAGCAGTGTTTGCAGTTGAGGGAGGAAAAGAGCTGTTTTGCGGGAGGTGGGTCACACAGGATAGAGGTTTGGACAGGACTGGGAAGACACCGCACAGAGACTTTTTGGGAAGTGTGAACAGGATTAGGAACCTGTTCCCCACTCACCATGAAGTACAGCACAGGCTGGGTCTGGTGAGGTTAGTTCCACCCCATGCGTGCCATTCCCACTCTGGGATCAGGCACTGAAAGTAATACCTGTAACACCTGGTGTTGAGACCGTAGCCATTCTAGAACACCAGATTCTTAGCTAGTTCTCTTTTTCAAGAGTAACCATCTGAATACATTTTCTTTTTTAATCTTTGTAGAGTAACTGTTAGTTCATGGGCCACAAAGTCTAAAAAGCCATGTAACTGTACCAAATCCCAGTGTCTGAAATTGTAAGTAACCACAAATCCTTCATTATTAAGTATGAAATAAGGTTGTTTAGAAGTCAGTGTGTAGACAAGGGCGCAGACAGTGGAATGGCCAGCCGTGTCCACGCTGCACGTCTTAGTGGGCGCTGTGCAGCAGGACAAGAGCTGCCCTGGTCCTTTGGGACTATCTCAGCCGGCCGCCTTGGTGAAGGACTCCTCCCCTTGCAAGGCACGTCACTTCCTGGGTCTTGGTGTCCTTTTCTAGCCCTCAGATGAGTGTTGAGATGGGCTGTCACTGGCTGAGCGCTTACTGTAACCTTTTCCACACCCTATTTTTTTTTAAAGTTTGATGAATCGGTTTACTCTATATTGAAATTGTGTCACGAAGCTTCTCCCTGGAGGTGCAGCTCCCAGGAGGCTGTCAGGGGTGGTCGGGCAGACTGTCAAGCAGAACCCCGGCCAGAAGTAGACAGCGTGGCCGGAACGCAGGTGGAGCTGACGGCCATGCGTGCCAGTGTCTCCTTGTCCACCCTGTCGAATCTGTTGTTGGTGTGTTCCCCTGCTCTCGGCTCTTGCCGCGGGCTGCTCTTTTTCTGGCCGCCCGCCTGCCTCGCCTTCAGGTCCCTGTAGTGAGGGCAGAATGTGTCCTTGTCCCCGTGTCTGCGGCCCTAACCACCGTCTCCACGTGATCTTCCGTTTCAGAGCTGCTGCAGCCATGAGCGCTCCATGACGGGCAGTGATGTGGGGGTGCACACGTGGGCAGAACCCACAGGCCTGTGACGCCTGGTGCACGGGACAGAGTGGACAGACTGGTTCTGTAAAGAGCTATGTGAAATCCAGGGCTGACCGACAGTGTCTGGGCTGTCGTTGGCTTAGTCTGGGAGAGCAGCCGTGTGCCTCTCCGAAGTCGACTCGCCCTGAGAGCACCAGTGGAGAGCTGAGTGCGGCCGTGGGTGAGGAGGAGCCTGGACCGTGGGCCGCTGGCGACCCGGGGAGGCCGCCCAGACGGAGACTTCCAGTGCGGCCGAGGACTGGTGGTAGAGTCTAGATGGACAGAGCTGTGCAGGGCCTCACGCCGGTGGACCGGGCCCCTGCGCTGCTGGCTGGGTTTGGGGACTGACTGGGCAGAGCAGCACCATGAGACTTGGCCAAGGTGTGTGGTTGGTTACTGGGGACAAAGAGAGGCAACTTCAGGACGTGGGGTGAGATGGCTCTAGGCAGGGTTGCCTAATTGAACTACCCTTCAGGCCAGAGAAAGCTTCTGGCGTGGAGGCTACTCCCAGCTTAGAAATTGGCCATGGCGCTGTCACCGAGGGCGGAGTCTACCCGCTCTGGAAGAAGGCAAAGGGCTGAGTGTGTCTGGTGCTGTCCGGGGCAGGTGCTGCCTTCTCCAGGGAGGGGCTGGTGGGTGTGGTGGGCCTGAGGCCCGCAGCCCCTCGACATGCTTGGCCACTGTGCATCTCTTAATTCCATGCTCACACACAACCATCTAACCAGGGCCCGGCTTCCCAGACTCCGTCCCGGAAAGCGGAGGCCCTGGAGGGGGAGGCGAGCACCCTGGACCCAGGAACGGGTGTCATTCCCATCGTGAATGAACACTCAGCATATCAGCTCGCCACGGAGAAACTGCTCATCCCTGGCAAGATTACTGATGTGTTTTCGGGTGCTGCAGAGGCCCAGCGCGACCGTCCCGTGCGGTCTCTGGCAGCAGCCCCTTGCCCTGGTGCCGATGCCCCCACGCGCACGTCATGTCCCTGTGCCGTAAGGAGTGAGGCTCTCCACTGCCTGCCCTAGCAAGTGTGTGTGGTCGTCCTCGATAGCCTCCCCTTTCCTCCCTTCTCACGCCCGCAACTGACGTATGCCAGGCAGTGGGACATTTCTTAGGGCCATGTGTCCCAGTTTAGTGGGCGCCCGTCCTGGATAAAGGTCGAGAGGGCCCAGCACTAACTGGCCATCACTAGAGAGAATCCCGCATTGTTGCGCTTTTAAACATCGAAGAGCCCCACACCACATGCGCAGTGACGGCAGCGACCATGGCACTGCCCAGTCCAGGCAGCACCGCACACACCGCTCCCGGCCTCCCAAAGCCTCCCTTTGCCTGCCTCTTGTTCTCGGCTCTGTGGGGATCGCTCAGCAAGGTGGTCCACGGCCCCACTGCCGTGGTGGGTGAGGGAGTTACTCTCTGTACCTCCTCCTCCAAACACGAGAGGGCTTCAGAAAGCTCATGGGAAATGTGTATGATAAAAAAACTAGGCATAGATTTCAAAAACGTTTGCACCAACATAAACATCTTTTGCAAACGCTTAGAAGACCCTGGGACGGCAGCTCCGCAACACTGGTGTCGCCACGTCCGTTCCCAGCTCCGGTCCTCATTCACCCCCAGCTGCTGGGGAGAAGAGGGAGGTGAAGTCCACTCCTGCCTCTCAGAGCACAGCCGGAATTGGCCACACCCTCGTCCTGTGGTCAGGGCGAGCTAGGCACGGAATCTGGGAAAATGTAGTCTGTGTGTGGCAACCACGCGCTCAGCTACACTGACCGTCGGTGCAGGATAAGGGAGAAGCGGGCATCCCCGGCAGCTGGGGTCCGCCCCAGGCCTCATCCCGTTGACCATGCTCCTAGTCCGGAGCCTTCCAAGGCTAAGGGATTTGTTACTGTTGTTGTAATAATGTGTGAGTGATAGGTTTTATCAAATGCGTTTCTCTGCATTTATTATTATTATTGCATTTATTGTTATTTAGTATTGAAATGAACAGACTGTTTTGCTTTTTAAAATCATCTGGTATCCCACAAACTTTGCAATGTTAACACAACCCTGTGTGTGCGGGATTAAACGCGCTTTGACGCCACTGTGGTGAGGTTATCTTTTGTGTGCTGCGCAACTTAGTCGCCCAGGACTTTGGCATCTTTGCTCATGAGAGAGAGACCCGTGACCCCTTCCTCACGTGTTTTGTGTTTCTTCCTTCGCCTGTGTCGCACTGCCTGACAAAGGGCATCAGCTAGGCTCCCCCTGCCACCGCCTTCTTGTCTCTCCTCTCCCAGCTCTAAAAGGGCTTGAGGATCGATGTGTTCTTCACAAGTCTGAGGAAGCTTGCCTGGGGACCTGTCCAGGCCTGCTGTCTTGCAGCTGGAGTGGGTTCTGTTGGTTCACCCCCCAAATGGCCACCACGGCCTGTGCGCAGCACTGATCCGAAACCAGGAGCCAGGCACTTCCTCCTGGTCTCCCATGCAGGTGCAGGGCCCAAGCACTTGGGTCATCCTCCACTGCACTCCCGGGCCACAGCAGAGAGCTAGACTGGAAGAGGAGCAACTGGGACAGAATCCAGCGCCCCAACCGGGACTAGAACCCAGGGTGCCAGTGCCACAGGCTAGGATTAACCAAGTGAGCCACGGCACCGGCCCTATAGCTTTTTAAATTTCCTATTTTTTTTCACTTTAATTTCTATTATTTTCTAAAGATTTATTTATTTGAAAGTCAGAGTTATACAGAGGTAGGAGAGGCAGAGAGAGAGAGAGAGAGGTCTTCCATCTGATGGTTCACTCCCCACTTGGCCACAATGGCTGGAGCGGCACCGATCTGAAGCCAGGAGCCAGGAGCCAGGAGCTTCTTCTGGGTCTCCCATGGGTGCAGGGGCCCAAGGACCCGGGTCATCTTCCACTGCTTTCCCAGGCCACAGTAGAGAGCTGGATCAGAAGTGGAGCAGCCAGGTCCCGAACCGGTGCCCATATAGGATGCCAGTGCTTCAGGCCAAGGCATTACCCACTGTGCCACAGCGCCGGCCCCAATTTCCCTTATTTTTTATTTGGCCCTTTTCTCTTTCTTGATCAGTCTCGTGAGAGGCCAGTTTCTTTTGTTCTACCTTTTTTTTTCTTTATTTATTTTAAAGATGTTTTATTTGAAAGATAGCATCATAGAGACAGGGAGGGGCAGAGTTCTTCTATGTGCTGGTCTGCTCCCCGAATGGCCAGGGTGCTCTGGGCTGGGCCAAGCTAAAGCTGCGAGCCAGGAGCTGTACCCAGGCCTCACAAGCCAGGAGCTGTACCCAGGCCTCACGCGCATAGCAGGGCCCAGGCACCGCTGCCTTCCCGGGAACACAGCAGGCGGCGCAGCCAGGACTGGAGCGGCACTCCCATGTGGGTGCTGACGCTGTGGCGGGCGCTCGGCCTCTGGGCACGGCTCTGACCCGGAGCACGGCCTCTGCTGTCAGCCTGTTCCTGGCAACACCTCCGGGTTACTGATTTCCGCACTTGTATTCTGCTTACTGTTTCATCGAATCCTTCACGTTTAGGTCTTTGCCACATTCTTCCTGCTCTTTTTATTGTTTTGCTGTCTTGTTTTGTTAGCTTTTGGTGTTAACTATTTCCATCATTTTCTATTTTGCAGTAAATACATTGAAAGATATAAATAAACTATCCTCATGCACTGCTTTACTGCTTTCTGTGAGTTGATAACAGATTTGCATTGTCATTCACTCAAAACATTTTGTAATTTTCATTGTAGCCTTCTCTTTACCGCGTGAGACTTTCAGGTGTATATATCAAAATAACCTAAATTTGTTGTATGTTTGCATGTACATAAGTATATATGTATGTGTATATATTTTTAAACTGTATTCTTGTTCATTTTAAATTTAATTACACTGTGATTAGATCATGTAATCTATATGGTGTCAGTTCTTTGAGATTAATGAAGATTTCCTTTATGATGTACTGCCTGATCAGTTTTAAAACTATTTTATATTAACTTTTGAGTATATGTTCTCAATTTGTTGAATACAATTGTCTACTAGCTCAAGTTGTTAATTCTGCTGTTTAAATCTACTAAATACTTAAGTAAATTTTGTGTGATTTATGCGTTCTTGATAAAAGTATGTTAAGATCTCTCCTTTAAGATTGTGATTATAATTCTGTTTTGGCTTATATATTTTGAATCTATACAATTGATGACTATTATCTCATTTTGGTGAATTTTTCCATTAAGTGTTCATTACTGTGCCCTGGTGCTTTTTGTCTTACATTCTTTTTTGCTGATATGAATGTTGCTCCACGATGTTTCCTCTGGTCAGCACCAGCAGGTTGCACTTCAAACCCCTTTCGTCTCACACTTGGTGTGGTAGTTGTGTCTTAGGTGTGTCTCCTGCAAGCTAAATGTAGCTGGATGTTTTTTAATCTAGTAATCCATGATTTAATAGATTGCTTCAATCCATTTGTGTTCCTTGTCTGATTATTGATACATTTGGACTTATTTGTAGCACCTTAGTTTTTGAAATGTTACAATGTATAGAATCATTTCCCCATTCAAATGTGACAGCATTCCATTCTGCTCCGCACCGGGCTCCTTAAACCTGAGACGCGATGTTGTAGCCTTCCTTAAAGCTATGGTCCGGGGTGGTGCGCAGTGCTGTGTAGCCACCATCACTGTCCATTTCTAGAACCCGTGGGTGTGCCAGTCTCTGTACCGTTAGACAGCCCTGTTCCCCCTCGCCCCAGTTCCTGGTAACCAGCCGTGTCCACCCTTCTGCATCGGGCTTAGTTCACTTAGCACGTCCTCCGCGCCGCCCCTGCTGTACCGTGTGTCCACACAGCCCTCCTTCTTCGGGCTGGATAGCTCCCGCACCCCCCCGCCCCGGGTGTAGAGACTGTGCTGTGTGGGCGCACTCACGTGCTGACCGACACTCGCATGGTTTCCCCCTTCCTGCCCTTGCTAAGGACGCTGCTGGGAACAGGGTATCCAAGGATCTGCACCCCTGGTTTTGGTTCTCTGGGGTGTCTACCTAGCAGCGGGACTGCTACGGCCTGGGCAGTCACGGTTTAACTTCCCGAGCAACTACACCCCAACAGGAACGCACAGTATCACCTTATTTGTGTTGTCTCTTCTCTGCTGCTTTCTTGCCTGACGCATGTTTTGGGAAATCAGCCCAGCGTGGAGGCTGTTGGCAGTAGGATTAGGTAGGGCGCTATCGCAGGAGCGTGGCCGAGAGACGGTGAAGCCCTGGACGGGGAGGGGTGGGGGGTGCTAGCCATGGAGGAAAAGCTGGGGCTGGGAGACACTTCATGCGCACACACTGCAGTGGGTTCACTCGCTTGTTACCTCACTGCCCATGATTGCAGCAACTGGGAAGACGACAAAGAGCAAGACCTGGTCTCTGCCCCCCCACCCCACCCCCAGCACTGACAGGCCAGACAGGACACACACGTGAATAAGTGATGGCATAAGTCAAGTCGAGGAGCAGTGGTGGGCTGAGGGCTGGGGCACATTGGCCAGGGGCAGCCAGGGAAGGAGGAGGTGTTAGGATGAGGCCAAGTGAATCAGGTGGAGGTGGGTTGAAAATGGACGCACAAGAGTTCTCTGGCCATAGGGAACAGCAGGAATGAAGTGGCTACGGCAGGAGAGGGGAGGGGGTGCCGAGAGGAGACCCAGGCTGCGGCGGGCGGGGCTTGTGCTGATCGCTTCACAGTTGGGGTTGGGGTTGGCACCATCTCGAGGGAAGCATTATGAGATAAAACGCACCTGCACGCCTCAGCTCCCAGACGCCAGACGCACCTTAGGGGACTAGGTCAGAGTGGAGCAGCCAGGACTGGAACTAGCGCCCGCATGGGGTGCGACATGGTCCTGAGCAGTGTCTTCACCTGCTGTGCCACACGCCAGCTGCTTTCTTGCACCTGTTTGCCTTTTCCTCCAAGTCAGCGCTTAGCTTTGTGTTCACAACACTGATCAATCACTAGACTCCCTCCTCGGCTGCACAGCTGTCTTCTCCACAGACCCAGTGAGCGCCTACTCACGTTACCCAGAGCAGCCCGAGCCCCGTTCCTGCTCGGAGCCCCGCTACCAGTGTGCTCGGGCGGGGACTCCAGGCCCGTGTCCAACAGTGCCAGATGTACCCACGTCTGTGGCGGCTTCGCCAGGGAGTGGACTTCAGCTTGGAAACGCTTCTCCCCCAGACTTTCAGACTTCGGTGCATTTACGGCACTTATCAGTGTTGTTTCTGAAACTGTCACACTGTTCCTTTTTCTTTTTAAACATGTATGTAGTTATTTATTTGAAAGTCACTGTTACAGAGAGAAGGAGAGGGAGAGGGAGAGGGAGAGGGAGAGGGAGAGGGAGAGGGAGAGGGAGAGGGAGAGGGAGAGGGAGAGGGAGAGGGAGAGGGATCCTCCATCCCCAGATGGCTGCAACGGCCAGAGCAGGGCCAGGATAAAGTAGGGAGCTTCATCCGGGTCTCCCACATGGGTAGCAGAAGCCCAAGGACTTGGGCCATCTTCTGCTGCTTTCCCCAGGCCATAGCAGGGAGCTGGTTTGGAAGAGGAGCAGCCGGGACACGGAATGGTGCCTGTATGGGATGCTGGCATTGCGGGCGGCGGCTTTAGCCGCCTCCATTCCTTTTCTTTGTGCGAAGCCTGCGTGATTCTTGCTAGGAGCCCGTGGGATCTTTCCCCTGTGTCCTGTGCTCCCGTGTCGTGGTCTGCAGCTCCGTCGTTGCCACGCTGAGCCCCTGGAGGCCTCCTGTTCTAGTCCGTGAGTTGCTTTCGCCCCAGCCTTCAAGCTGTGTGCTTCTGGAGCCCCCGTTTCACACATGGGGCCCAGGTACTCGGGCCATTCTCCCACTGCATTCCCAGGAGCATTCCCAGGGAGCTGGACTGGCCGTAGAGCGTTCAGGTCTCCCACGTGGGTGCAGGGGCCCCGGTACTCGGGCCGTCCTCCGCTGCTTCCCCAGGTGCACTAGCAAGGAGCTGGATCAGTCATAGAGCATTCAGGTCTCAAACAGGTGCCCCTATGGGACGCTGGCATTGCAGGCGGCAGCTCAACCCACAGCACCGGCCCTCTTCTGCTTCTCCTACTCTGTTTTCTTCCACTTATTTACTTTTGGTTCTAGTCCTCATAACTGGTTTTATCTCTGTGATTACTTTTTTATTTGCTAGGGTAGTTTTTTGGTTTTTTGTTTGTTTTTTGTTTGTTTGTTTGTTTTTTAGCTCTGAATGTCTTCAGTATTCTCCTCCTATTTCCTGGACTCAGTAACTTGCCTCACTCCCTGTAAGGCCACCAAGGGGCCCTGCATCCTGATGTGTTGTCCCGCAAGCGTCCGCTTCGGCTGGCTTCTGTCTGCCTCGTGGAAAGATCTCCTGACGTGGCGCCAGTCCCTGGCTATCCGTCCGGCTAGGAGACCTTCAGTGATTGATGGAGTTTACTCCCTGTGGCCGGCTTCACAGGGTGATGTGATTGTATCTGGAAACTGCACTGTCTCCAGTTCACCTGCTGGACTGTAGATGGCGTCTGGTCTGAGGGTCACCCTCCATAGCTCGGACTTGGTCTCCTGTGTGCCGCGTGAACAGCCGTTAGACCCCCCCGCTGGGCCTCCTGGGGACCAGCAGCTGCAGAACGTGCCTTTGTCGTCTGTACTCCCCGTGGGCCTGATGGGCAGTGTACAAGAGCCTGGGAAGAACTGTGACTGGGCGTCCTAGCCTGGGGGGCCTGTGGGACATCGCACCCCCGGGGCACCCCTGCATCCTACCAGTGGCCTGAGGGCTTGAGACAGGCAGGTTAAGCCCCACGATGTCCGTTCTACAGTTGCAGGTGCCTGACCAATAGCCTGTACCAGGTAACACGGGGAGCTGGCGGCAGGGCCGTTGTGTACAGTCCGGGTCTGACGCTAGGAGTCGGAGACGGGGGTCTTCTGCAGAGGCTCTCGGGGTGCAGGCTGTAGGTCAATGTCAGGCGCCCTTGCCCCACGAGTGAGCTGTCACATGACGGAGAAAAGGGAAAGTGTGGGCCAGCAAACACTGCTGTGGGGTGGCACAGGGCCCGGGGTCTTGTTCAGCTGCCCCAGGGAAGCCCACGAGTAAGGGCCACAGCGCTCCGCGGCGCTGCCGTCTCCGTGACGACCCCAGTGTCCGCAGGCACCCTGGACAGTTCTCCCAGAGTCCAGTTCTGCAGAAGAGACGCGCCTCACGCGGGGTGGTGACAGCAGTCAGCGCTCACACGCACTGCTTCTGCTCGCCCCGCATGCAGGTGGAAAGAGAGCCAGCCCAGGCCCCGGCCAGCATCCACCTGGGGTCCCTGGACTGTCACTTGTCGACAAGGCCTGGGCAGGAAGTGAAATCACTTTCAGCCTTGTCGGACGGACAGGGAGAGGCAACGGGGACACAGGTCGTTATTAGCCGGCGTTCCTCCCCCCAGCTGAGTGCACTCCTGGGCAAAGGGAGAGGGTGGTTAGGGCAGGACGGTGGAGGTGGACAGCAGTGGGCATTCTCTAGGGAATAGTTCTGCTTGGCGAAAGCCTGTAGTGATGCCAGTGGCTTCTCTGTAGTCTCTGGGGAGCATCCTCGTGCTGATCTCGCTGTCACGTAGCACCCGTGGGGTCACCTCTGCGGCAGGTGTGCCGCCTGCAGCACTGGCCAGCCCCACGCCTGGCCGCCGGGCACCAGGCACCGGCCGCCGGGCCCTGCTCAGCCTGTCCTTTCCTTCACAGGTACTGCGACTGCTTTGCCAGCGGGGACTTTTGCAACAACTGCAATTGTAATAACTGTTGCAACAACTGGCGTCATGAAATCGAAAGGTTTAAAGCCATTAAGGTAGGACGTGTCCTCCGAGCGCGTGCGTTTTAAGTCACTTGAAAGTGCCTGAGACGTTTGCGAAGCGCGAAGCCATCTCCGGAGATTCCTGGGTGCAGGGCTGGGGAGGTGCGGTCTTGAAGAACGCACGTTCCGTGTGGCTCTGTTCTGTGGGCGGGGCGGGGCCGTGAGGAGGGCGACTGGTGAGAGCGGCTGGCGCAAAGGGGCTTCTTCCCGCGGGGCGGCAGGGCTGGGGCTCCTGGGCAAGGACTCTCGTGTCGCGCATGTCCACGCCGTGCTGCTTGGGCCGCGTGGGCAGCGTGGAGGCACAGAAGGCCCACGCCCGAGTGGACTGGGGGAAGAGCCCGGCCTTTTCCCGTCTTCAGCTGCACACCCAGCCCTAGGCGTCTGGCAAAGGTGAGAACTGAGTCGTCCTGACGGCACAACAGCACCTCACTGCTGCGCCGAGGGCCAGTGCACGCGGTCACTACCCCTTCCAGGGGCACCGAAGACGCAGGAGACGGGAGGGCCAGTTGGGCTGCGGCTGTCGCCTGCTGCTGGCCGGTGCTGGCAGGGCCCTCGCATTTCCAAAGGGAGGTCCAGAGCCGTCCCACAACCACAGAGCACAGTCCCACTGCACCACAGTCAGCACCCAGGGAGCACAGTCCCACTGCACCACAGTCAGCACCCAGGGAGCACAGTCCCACTGCACCACAGTCAGCACCCAGGGAGCACAGTCCCACTGCACCACAGTCAGCACCCAGGGAGCACAGTCCCACTGCACCACAGTCAGCACCCAGGGAGCACAGTCCCACTGCACCACAGTCAGCACCCAGGGAGCACAGTCCCACTGCACCACAGTCAGCACCCAGGGAGCACAGTCCCACTGCACCACAGTCAGCACCCAGGGAGCACAGTCCCACTGCACCACAGTCAGCACCCAGGGAGCACAGTCCCACTGCACCACAGTCAGCACCCACGGAGCACAGTCCCACTGCACCACAGTCAGCGCCCAGGGAGCACAGTCCCACTGCACCACAGTCAGCACCCACAGAGCACAGTCCCACTGCACCACAGTCAGCACCCAGGGAGCACAGTCCCACTGCACCACAGTCAGCACCCAGGGAGCACAGTCCCACTGCACCACAGTCAGCGCCCAGGGAGCACAGTCCCACTGCACCACAGTCAGTACCCAGGGAGCACAGTCCCACTGCACCACAGTCAGCGCCCAGGGAGCACAGTCCCACTGCACCACAGTCAGCACCCAGGGAGCACAGTCCCACTGCACCACAGTCAGCACCCACAGAACACAGTCCCACTGCACCACAGTCAGCACCCAGGGAGCACAGTCCCACTGCACCACAGTCAGCCCCAGGGAGCACAGTCCCACTGCACCACAGTCAGCACCCAGGGAGCACAGTCCCACTGCACCACAGTCAGTACCCAGGGAGCACAGTCCCACTGCACCACAGTCAGTACCCAGGGAGCACAGTCCCACTGCACCACAGTCAGTACCCAGGGAGCACAGTCCCACTGCACCACAGTCAGCACCCACAGAACACAGTCCCACTGCACCACAGTCAGCACCCAGGGAGCACAGTCCCACTGCGCCACAGTCAGCCCCAGGGAGCACAGTCCCACTGCACCACAGTCAGCACCCAGGGAGCACAGTCCCACTGCACCACAGTCAGCACCCAGGGAGCACAGTCCCACTGCACCACAGTCAGCCCCAGGGAGCACAGTCCCACTGCACCACAGTCAGCACCCAGGGAGCACAGTCCCACTGCACCACAGTCAGTACCCACAGAACACAGTCCCACTGCACCACAGTCAGCACCCACAGAACACAGTCCCACTGCACCACAGTCAGCACCCACAGAACACAGTCCCACTGCACCACAGTCAGCACCCAGGGAGCACAGTCCCACTGCACCACAGTCAGCACCCACAGAACACAGTCCCACTGCACCACAGTCAGCACCAGGGAGCACAGTCCCACTGCACCACAGTCAGCACCCAGGGAGCACAGTCCCACTGCACCACAGTCAGCCCCAGGGAGCACAGTCCCACTGCGCCACAGTCAGCACCCAGGGAGCACAGTCCCACTGCACCACAGTCAGCACCCAGGGAGCACAGTCCCACTGCACCACAGTCAGCACCCACAGAACACAGTCCCACTGCACCACAGTCAGCACCCACAGAACACAGTCCCACTGCGCCACAGTCAGCCCCAGGGAGCACAGTCCCACTGCACCACAGTCAGCACCCAGGGAGCACAGTCCCACTGCACCACAGTCAGCACCCAGGGAGCACAGTCCCACTGCACCACAGTCAGCACCCAGGGAGCACAGTCCCACTGCGCCACAGTCAGCACCCAGGGAGCACAGTCCCACTGCACCACAGTCAGCACCCAGGGAGCACAGTCCCACTGCACCACAGTCAGCACCCAGGGAGCACAGTCCCACTGCACCACAGTCAGCGCCCAGGGAGCACAGTCCCACTGCACCACAGTCAGCACCCAGGGAGCACAGTCCCACTACACCACAGTCAGCACCCAGGGAGCACAGTCCCACTGCGCCACAGTCAGCGCCCAGGGAGCACAGTCCCACTGCACCACAGTCAGCGCCCAGGGAGCACAGTCCCACTGCACCACAGTCAGCACCCAGGGAGCACAGTCCCACTGCACCACAGTCAGCACCCAGGGAGCACAGTCCCACTACACCACAGTCAGCACCCACGGAGCACAGTCCCACTACACCACAGTCAGCACCCAGGGAGCACAGTCCCACTGCACCACAGTCAGCACCCAGGGAGCACAGTCCCACTGCTCCACAGTCAGCACCCAGGGAGCACAGTCCCACTGCACCACAGTCAGCACCCAGGGAGCACAGTCCCACTGCACCACAGTCAGCCCCAGGGAGCACAGTCCCACTGCACCACAGTCAGCACCCAGGGAGCACAGTCCCACTGCACCACAGTCAGCACCCAGGGAGCACAGTCCCACTGCACCACAGTCAGCACCCACGGAGCACAGTCCCACTGCACCACAGTAAGCCCCAGGGAGCACAGTCCCACTGCACCACAGTCAGCACCCAGGGAGCACAGTCCCACTGTACCACAGTCAGTACTCAGGGAGCACAGTCCCACTGCACCACAGTCAGTACTCAGGGAGCACAGTCCCACTGCACCACAGTAAGCCCCAGGGAGCACAGTCCCACTGCACCACAGTCAGCACCCAGGGAGCACAGTCCCACTGCACCACAGTAAGCCCCAGGGAGCACAGTCCCACTGCACCACAGTAAGCCCCAGGGAGCACAGTCCCACTGTACCACAGTCAGCGCCCAGGGAGCACAGTCCCACTGCACCACAGTCAGCACCCAGGGAGCACAGTCCCACTACACCACAGTCAGCACCCAGGGAGCACAGTCCCACTACACCACAGTCAGCACCCAGGGAGCACAGTCCCACTGCACCACAGTCAGCACCCAGGGAGCACAGTCCCACTGCTCCACAGTCAGCACCCAGGGAGCACAGTCCCACTGCACCACAGTCAGCACCCAGGGAGCACAGTCCCACTGCACCACAGTCAGCACCCAGTGAGCACAGTCCCACTGCACCACAGTCAGTGCCGGGGAGCACAGTCCCACTGCGCCACAGTAAGCACCCACGGAGCACAGTCCCACTGCACCACAGTCAGTGCCGGGGAGCACAGTCCCACTGCGCCACAGTCAGCACCCACGGAGCACAGTCCCACTGCACCACAGTCAGCACCCAGGGAGCACAGTCCCACTACTCCACAGTCAGCACCCAGGGAGCACAGTCCCACTGCACCACAGTCAGTGCCCAGGGAGCACAGTCCCACTGCGGCACAGTCAGCACCCAGGGAGCACAGTCCCACTGCGGCACAGTCAACACCCAGGGAGCACAGTCCCACTGCACCACAGTCAGCACCCAGGGAGCACAGTCCCACTACACCACAGTCAGCACCCAGGGAGCACAGTCCCACTACACCACAGTCAGCACCCAGGGAGCACAGTCCCACTGCACCACAGTCAGCACCCAGGGAGCACAGTCCCACTGCGCCACAGTCAGCACCCACGGAGCACAGTCCCACTGCACCACAGTCAGCACCCAGGGAGCACAGTCCCACTGCACCACAGTCAGTACTCAGGGAGCACAGTCCCACTGCACCACAGTCAGTACTCAGGGAGCACAGTCCCACGATCCAAAGTCAGTACTCAGGGAGCACAGTCCCACCTACTCCACAGTCAGCACCCAGGGAGCACAGTCCCACTACACCACAGTCAGCACCAGGGAGCACAGTCCCACTGCACCCACAGTCAGCACCAGGGAGCACAGTCCCACTGCACCACAGTCAGTACTCAGGGAGCACAGTCCCACTACTCCACAGTCAGCACCCAGGGAGCACAGTCCCACTACACCACAGTCAGCACCCAGGGAGCACAGTCCCACTACACCACAGTCAGCCACCCAGGGAGCACAGTCCCACTGCCACCACAGTCAGTACTCAGGGAGCACAGTCCCACTGCACCACAGTCAGCACCCAGGGAGCACAGTCCCACTGCACCACAGTCAGCCCCAGGGAGCACAGTCCCACTGAGCCACAGTCAGCACCCAGGGAGCACAGTCCCACTGCACCACAGTCAGCACCCAGGGAGCACAGTCCCACTGCACCACAGTCAGCACCCAGGGAGCACAGTCCCACTGCACCACAGTCAGCACCCACGGAGCACAGTCCCACTACACCACAGTCAGCACCCAGGGAGCACAGTCCCACTGCTGCACAGTCAGCACCCACAGAACACAGTCCCACTGCACCACAGTCAGCACCCAGGGAGCACAGTCCCACTACACCACAGTCAGCACCCAGGGAGCACAGTCCCACTGCTGCACAGTCAGCACCCACAGAACACAGTCCCACTGCACCACAGTCAGCACCCAGGGAGCACAGTCCCACTACACCACAGTCAGCACCCAGGGAGCACAGTCCCACTACACCACAGTCAGCACCCAGGGAGCACAGTCCCACTACACCACAGTCAGCACCCAGGGAGCACAGTCCCACTGCACCACAGTCAGCACCCAGGGAGCACAGTCCCACTACACCACAGTCAGCACCCAGGGAGCACAGTCCCACTGCACCACAGTCAGCACCCAGGGAGCACAGTCCCACTGCACCACAGTCAGCACCCAGTGAGCACAGTCCCACTGCACCACAGTCAGCACCCAGGGAGCACAGTCCCACTGCACCACAGTCAGCGCCCAGGGAGCACAGTCCCACTGCACCACAGTCAGCACCCAGGGAGCACAGTCCCACTGCACCACAGTCAGCGCCCACGGAGCACAGTCCCACTACACCACAGTCAGCACCCAGGGAGCACAGTCCCACTGCACCACAGTCAGCACCCATGGAGCACAGTCCCACTACACCACAGTCAGCACCCCGGGAGCACAGTCCCACTACTCCACAGTCAGCACTCAGGGAGCACAGTCCCACTACTCCACAGTCAGTACCCAGGGAGCACAGTCCCACTGCACCACAGTCAGCACCCACAGAACACAGTCCCACTGCACCACAGTCAGCACCCAGGGAGCACAGTCCCACTACACCACAGTCAGCACCCAGGGAGCACAGTCCCACTACACCACAGTCAGCACCCAGGGAGCACAGTCCCACTACACCACAGTCAGCACCCAGGGAGCACAGTCCCACTGCACCACAGTCAGCACCCAGGGAGCACAGTCCCACTACACCACGGGTGGCCTGTATCTTAGTTTCCTCTCGAGTTACAGATGCGCCAGTCGCACGTGTTAGCAGTGTGAACGGCCGAGTGTCAGCGCGCAGCGCAGGTGCATGTCAGCTTGGCGTGGCCCTGTGCTCTTCGGGGTAGGGGTGCTGCAGGCTGGGTTAAGGGTCACATGCTCACGTAGCAAATGTTGCAATCCCCGTGCAGCCACGACTGGAGCCTAAACTGCTACCACCACTTTGGGAAATCGTGTTGCAGTAGCTACTAAAGCTAAATCTTTGGGTACCCTGTGATGCAGCAATTTAATTCCCCCCAAACACTAGAAATAGTCCCTAAAAGACTTGGACAAGAATGTCCGTAGCAGCTTGTATCCCCAACAGCGAGATCTGTTTGATTCAATAGAATGATCAATGCATTGAGCCATAGCGTATAAGGAAATATCGCTCATCAGTGAGACAGTGAGACAGCAGGAGCCCCAGCCGAGCAAATGCATCCCGCAGACAGCACGCAGAGGAGGAGCCGGACACGAGGCTCCAGACCGCGTGAGGACAGCACTTCCCCGACGTCCCAGAGCAGCAAAGCCAAGCCCAGGACGCCATCGGGAGGCACGAGGAGGAGTGGCCAGGGGCCTCCGGGGCGGGCCGTCCTCTAACTCCTGGGGGTGGGGGTGGTTACACGGTGCACACAGGATCATCACGCGGTGCTGCTTGGAGCGACCTTGTGCATCGCTGGGGGGCAGGGAAGGCAGGGCAGAGCCCTCCCCAGCGACCCCTGTGGTGTGTGAACTTCTAGAAAGAGCAGGAGCCGCATGGCTCTAAAGTGCGTCTGTCTATGTGTACTTGGATGGGAAACAAGCCAGGCCGAGCGCGATGTGTCAGCGTTGAGGGCCTGGCCCCACCGCTTGCCGTCTGTGATATAACCCCTCCGTGCCCTGTCTCCCCTTCCACGGGACGCGATGACGCGGAAGGTTTTATTCCCACGGTTGCCGAGGGTCTGTGTGAATCACCAGGGAGGTGCCCGGGGCGCGGAGCCAGAGTGAGCCGGCGGCAGGGGCGCGGCCCCAGCCAGCCCGGGACAGGGCGCAAGGACGGCTCAGAGGGACGACGCCCACGTGGAAACTGGTTTTTTCCCTCTCTGTTGTCCGTTAGTTTTCTGCGGTAATTGGACAGGACTCTGAAACGCGCAAAGGAGCCAAGTTCAAAGAAGCCTGGTTGTGGCCTGCCTCTTTGTGTGCAAACGAGAAGGGGTGGCCTTTACTCCCCCTGCTCCCAGCAGGACGCGCCCCCCGGGCAGCCACGGCTCCTGACCACTCCCCTGACCACGCGCTCCTGACAGTTTCCCTTCTCTGTCTCAGGCTTGTCTCGACCGAAACCCAGAAGCTTTCCAGCCGAAAATCGGGAAGGGCAGGCCGGGCAGCGCGAAGCCCCGGCACAACAAAGGCTGCAACTGCAAGCGGTCGGGCTGCCTGAAGAACTACTGCGAGTGCTACGAGGTCAGGGCCGCCCCCGGGGGGCGCACGCGCACACGCACACGCACACACGCACACGCACACGCACACGCACACGCACACGCGGCCGCAGCGGCTCAGGAGGAAGCGGCGCCTTCTTCCTCCCAGGGTTTCCTCGCGGCCCGCGTTTCAGTCTGAACTAGTGCCTGAAAAACGCGCGGAGCCCTGTGAGGCCTGGGCAGGAGTGGGGGCCCCACTGGAGCCGGACGCCCCCCGAGCCCTCCCTGACCTGGCCTGGCCTGGCCTGGCCTGGCCTTGGCGGCCGGCAGCCATGGCCCTGCCTGTCACGCCTGGAGACTTCTGCCCTCTTCTATTCAGACGCATTTATTTGTTTGTTACTTTATTTGCAAAGCAGAGAGACAGAGTCCGGTTCACTCCTCAGAGCCTAACGCGGCTGGGCTGGGCCAGGCTGCAGAACCCGGAACCCCCCACCCAGGTCTCCGCGTGGGCGGCAGGGCCCAGCTGCTGGGGCATTGCCTGCCTGACAGGAAGCTGGGGTCGGGGGCCCAGCGGGGCTGGGGCGCAGGCGCTGTGGCTCGCGGCAGGCCACCTAAACTGGCCAGGCGCCTGCTCCTCGTCCCTTTTCCCACACGTAAACGATAGAATACACAGAATGAGTTAAGGCACCAATAGGGTGTCTCAGTATTTGATGGCTTACAGGGCAACCTGATTTAATTAAAACATTTTATGTTACCAGGCCAAAATTATGTGCTCTTCTATTTGCAAATGCGTTGGCTGCAAAAATTATGAGGAAAGCCCAGAACGAAAAACACTAATGAACGCGCCAAACTGCGTGGACGCCGGCGATTTGGAAGGCGGCCACCATTTGTCACCCACAGGTGCAGGACTGCCAAAACCCAGAAAAGACAGGTAGGTGCTTGGCACCCGCCCCCCCACAGGGGCAGGGGTCCACTCGAGAGTTAGGTGTCCACTCTGGAAGGAGAGCACGGGCGGGCGTGGGAGGAGCTGAGCACAGCCCCAGGAGGCAGCGCACCTGTACGGGCACCTGCTGTGGGCTTTGCGCGCGGAGTGACCGGGGTCCGTACAAGGTGCAGTGGCCCCGAGGGGTCTGACGCTGCCCTCGGTCAGCACAGAGCCGCAGCCAGGGACGACTCTCCATCTTCTGCCTTCTGAAGTGGCTGTGGGTTCCAGAGCAGGTGGTGGATGGTTCCCGTGTGCGTGTGTGCGCGTGTGCATGTGTGTGCATGTGTGTATGTGTGCATGTGTGTATGTGTGTGCATGTATATGTGTGTATGTGTGTGCATGTATGTGTGCATGTATGTGTGTGCATGCATGTATATGTGTGTGCATGTGTGTATGTGCATTGTGTGTGCGCATGTGTGTGTGCATGTGTGTATGTGTGTGTCTCTTCAGAGAGAGAGACAGATCTCACCGCCAGCCTGCTCCCTGGATGCCCCCAAGGCTGGTGCCGAGCAAGAATCAGGAATCAGGAACGCAACCCAGGTCTCCCGTGGGGCACTGAGCCCTCAGCAGTGCCTCCCGGGGCATGGGCAGGAAGCTGGGTCAGGAGCCGCAGCCGGGAACCGAACCCAGGCCTTCCGACCGGCAGTGCAGGCTGCTTCACCACCACGCCACACACCCACTGCCCAGTCAATGGATTTTTTAACTGAAATGAAAGCTATCTTTCTTTTTTTTTTTTTTACAGGCAGAGTTAGACAGTGAGAGAGAGACAGACAGAAAGGTCTTCCTTCCGTTGGTTCACCCCCCAAATGGCTGCTCTGGCCGGCGCACTGTGCCGATCCGAAGCCAGGAGCCAGGTGCTTCTCCTGGTCTCCCATGGGGTGCAGGGCCCAAGCACTTGGGCCATCTTCCACTGCCCTCCCTGGCCACAGCAGAGAGCTGGCCTGGAAGAGGAGCAACCAGGACAGAATCCGGCACCCCGACCGGGACTAGAACCTGGGGTGACGGTGCCGCTAGGCGGAGGATTAGCCAAGTGAGTCACGGCGCCGGCCGAAAACTATCATTTTTAAAAAAAGATTTATTTATTTGAAAGGCAAAGTGACAGAAAGAGAGACAGCGAACTCGATGTCCTGTCCACTGATGAGCTACTCCCCAAATGCCCCCAACAGCTAAGGCTGGAGCAGCCCAAAGCCAGGGGCCAGGAACTCCATGAGGTTCTCCCGCGTGGCTCCCACGTGGCTCCCACATGGCTGGTGGGAACTCAGGTATGTGGGCCATCACGGCTGCCTCCCAGGCATGCTGCCAGGCGTGGGTCAGAGCAGAGGGCCAGGACCCCTCGCAGGCTCCGGGATGAGGCGTGGGTGTCCCAGGCCGCTTCACCTGCCGTACCGCCCGCACACTCACTGGAGGACTTTGAAGCGGGTCACAGTCCTAGACCTCGAGGGTGGAGTAGCCATTTCACTGATTTGGGCTTGATTTCTCCACTAAAGGCGTCCTTGATTTTCACGTAATGGGGCAGGTGTCATAATTAACCAGCGTCAGTTTGCAAGACCAATTCACACGTATGAGGCTAGAGAGACATCAGAAACCCTCAGCATTGTGTCTTCAGAGATCTTTGGGAGCCGGCGGCACGTTCCGAGAGGCGGAGCGTGGAGCTGTCCCCGCCCCCACGGTGCTGCGTGCCGTGGACGTGGGGGCTGCCAAGCGTGGGACTTGCGTCTCCAGCAGAAGTCACGGCGTCAGCTTTGCAGGGACTGAAGCCAAGGCTGAGCGCTGTCGTCACAGCCCACGCTTTCAGTCGTGTGTGCGTGTGTGTGTGTGTGTGAGAAAGAGAGAGAGAGAGAGAGAGAGAGAGACGTGTTCCCGAAAGTTCTCCGTGTGAGCGCTCCTTGGGCGCCCTCTAGTTAAGCCGCAGTCGCCCCTGGAGCTCGGGTGGAAGCGGCTGCTCCCACACAACACAGTGCACCTTGACCTTGAGAACCGGAGGGCCCCCAAGGGCACTGAGGGGCCAGCCTCAGGCTGAGGCCGGGAGTCCGCACAGCCCGGGCACTGGCAGCTGTAGACGCCCCTGTGGGAAGGGGGCGGGGCCAGCACGCGGCACTGCCCCTGGAGCGCGGGCCAGTGTCGTAGGAGGTTCCTGCCTGGCCCGGAGTCGGACGCTGCAGCCCGGGAGCCTCTGGGTTTGTCAGTGGATCTGAGAAAATGTAGAGTCCGCCCTGAGGGATGTCGGGAGGCAGACGCCCGCCTGCCTGTGTCGTCCCGACAGCAGCCCACAGGATCGGTGCGCTTCCAGCACCAGAAGACAGCGCTGACGGCTCCAGGGGCCGTGTGGGTAGTTAGAGCGCCACCCGCAGGCCTTACAACTTAGAAATCAGCCTGCTACAGATTTACTGAATTTCTTTTTTTTTTTTTTTTTTAATTTATTTATTGTGGCTGGTACCGTGGCGTAGTAGGCTAAGCCTCTGCCTTTGGCACCGGCATCCCAGACAGGTGCCAGTTCGTGTCCCCACTGCCCCTCTTCTTATCCAGCTCCCTGCTAATGGCCTGGGAAAGCAGCAGAGGATGCCCCACGGGCTGGGACACCGGCACCTGTTTGCACCCAGAAGAAGCTCCTGGCTGCTGGCTTTGGATTGGCCCTGCTCTGGCTGTCGCATCCACTTGGGGAGGGAACCAGTGGGTGGAAGACCTTTCTCTCCGTCTCTCCCTCTCTCCGTCTCTCTCTCTGTAACTCTGCTTCTCAAATGAATAAATAAAATCTTTTTTAAAAAATTTGAAAGGCAGAGTTACAGAGAAAGGCAGAAAAACAAAGGCAGAGAGTGAGAATCTTCCGTCCTCTGGTTCACTCCCCAAATGGCCACAACGGCAGGAGCTGAGCCGACCCAAAGCTGGGGGCTTCACCTGGGTCCCCCACACGGGTGCAGGGCCGCCAGCACTTGGGCATCTTCCTCTGCTTTCCCGGACCACAGCAGGGAGCTGGATGGGAAGTAGAGCAGCCGGGACTCAGACCAGTGCCCATCTGGGGTGCCAGGCGATGACCTCCTGCACCACAGCGCCGGCCCCAGACCTACTGAGTTCCCAGTCCTGCCTGCGGTTGCCTTGGCAGAAGGACGAGGTGGCTGCGTGGGCCTTGGCCGGGGCCCAGACGCTCGCGCCCCTGCTCAGTGGCGCACAGAGGGCTGGGGAACCTCGCGCCCCGAGCTGGCCCTGACCACCCTGCTCCCCACAGGCGGCCGGCGTCCTGCATCTCCTGGGAGGTGGTGGAGGCCACGTGCGCCTGCCTGCTGGCTCAGGGGGAAGAGGCCGAGAAGGAGCAGCGCTCCCAGTGCCTGGCGGAGCAGCTGGTCTTGGAGGAATTCGGCCGCTGCTTATCACAGATCCTGCACATTGAGTTCAAGTCCAAGGGGCTGAAGATGGAGTAGAGCACCGCAGAGGCAGGTGTGTGCCCGTCAGTGTTGTCTCGGGACGTGGAAAATCCGGGACTGTGGCCACAGCTGGGAGCCCAAAACCTGCCCTAATGCTGCCCCGTGGGCCGGAGGTTTGTCAGAGCTCGCTGGCGGCTGTGTGGGCCAGGACCTGTCTTTTTGACCAAGTGGGCGACATAAGCACTGCTTGTCTGGGCCAGAGAAGGAGGGGCCGTGGTCCTGGGAGCACTGTCCCCATGGGTGAGGCAGCCGGCGCAGGCCCTGGGGAGGGCCCCAGGGGAGGGGAGGAGGAGGACCCGCCTTCACCCTCCACCCTTGGGGAGCTGCCTCCCCGGGGCTGCCTCGGGCGCTTTTTGGTTTTTGTTTGTTTTTTAAATTATTTAGAAATGAATGCCCCAGCTGGGCTGCCCCACAGCCTGCCGCCTGGAGAGAGTCGCCCACTGCAGGAGACTGGGCTTGGGTCAGCGGTGTCGGGCGCTGCAGGGGTTAGAGTTCTGTCCAGTCTCTTACGTGTTTGTATCTGAGTTGTGGAAAAGTCCTATTACCCGATTAACTTCCCTGTCGTCCTCGCTGAAATATCACCTCCAGTCTGCAGGAGCCAGCGGGACGGCTGGTTCTGAGGCTGAGCCTGGCTGTGTCGTAGAACGCAAGCAGGTGTCTTCAGTGTGACAGTGAGCTTGGACGGGAGCTCACGTGCGCAGCGCCCCCGGAGTGGTGAAGGAATGTTCTCGTGGCGTGTCGGCCTCGCTGGGACAAGCCACGCGGAGCAGGGAGCAGCGTGTCTATGACCGCCTGCCCCTGACGGCACTGCCGAGGGCACTGTGCCAGCCGAGCCTGGCAGCACCTGCAGGTGGCCGTGACCCAGGGGCTGGGGACAGGGACGGGTGGCCCTGGCTGCAGGATGGGAGCTGGGGGCAAGGCTAGATGGAGGCCAAGTGGCCGCTGTGTGTCCCTGGCCTGGAGCAGCGGCCCGGGAACTTAGATGCCTGCGCCGGGGCCCGGCAGCTATTCTGACCCAGGCCTCGGGTCGCCGCTGCCTGGTCAAGTGGGAGAATTAAAGAGACAAAGTGAGTGTGGTGGGGGAGCCAGGTGCGAGGGTGGGCCCCGGGGTAGACCACCCCGAGCTGGGAGTGCGGACACAGGTACTCCAGCCTGGGGCTCCCAGCCTGGGGCTCCCGCGGCGTGGCCAGGGGAAGAGAGGGCAGCGGGGGGCCAAGTGTGGCCCTGCGGTCAGCTGGGAGCCACGCCTCTGCAGAGCCCACCCCGCCCAGGGAAGGCTCCCCCCAGGAAAGACCTCCCCCAGGGAAGGCCCTGCCCCACCTCCCAGTCTGACCGGTGGGGAAGCTGCAGCACCGTTAACTGGACCGAAGCCTGCCCGGCTCCTCCCCCTCGCCCGTTCTCTCTCTAATCTTCTGGAATGATCTTAAAATTTCTGCTCAGAGGACCGGGGTCTGCCACTCCCCACAGCCATCAGATCTGCCCCTTGCCAGCCTTCTGGCCACGGGAGGACCGCCCCCGCCAGTCCCCCCACTCCTGGGTCCGCCTCCACCTTCCTGCTGGTGTGGACCCAGGAGCTAGCGCAGCGCCCCCTGGCGAGCGCAGGCGGTGTCGCAGACCCTCTGCGGTGGGGGCGTGGCTCCGAACCGAAACCCAGTCCCCCACCCCCACCCCCGGCGCAGCGGCGACCGGACAGAGTGAGCAGGACCACTGTGGCCAGTTGCTATTTTTTATTTTGCCACTCAAAATAATTGTCCCAAAATCTTAAATTACGACAGCAGAGTGAGGCAGGGAGAGCAGGCATGGCCCCCGCCCCGGTCTCCGCACAGATGGCCGCCCGGAACAGTGGCTGGTCAGGGCTGCCCGGCGTCCTCCGGCGACCCAGCCACGGGGAGGTCGGCCAGGCTGTCCAGGGCCCCCGCCTCTGCAACAAAAGAGCCAACCCCGCCTCAGCAGCCGGCCTGGGCAGGGCTGCGCAGGGCCCTCCCGGGGGCTTCCAGGGTCAGGTGCAAAGTCTGGACCACCCGCCTCTGTGGGCTTCACCCCATGGTCAGCGCAGGTCTGAAGCCGTCCGCCTTTCAAGTCGTGTCGAGGGAGTGTTACAAACAATGACCTTGTCACCTGGAGGAGTGCTCGTGTTGCAAAGGGGGCAACAAAACAGACGGGCTGAGCCCCTGCACCCCTCGGGGCTCGGGCAGGGGCAGGTCAACACCACCATGCTGTCCTGTCCCCCCCAGGCTCCCTGCCCAGACAGCCCGGGGGCCGGGCAGGCGTGGTGTCCAGCCCCGCCTGATGCCCTTCAGCCACGTGGCCTGGGCACTCAGCCCCACGGAGGAAGCCCAAGAACCGCCTCAACTCTTCCAAGCTGGACAGCAAATGGTGCCGTCCACACTGCCGGAGACAGAGGCCCCCACCGCGGCCCGCCTCCCAGGGCTGCGGCCCCCTTCCCTCGGCCCTGCCCCCCCAGCAGCTCTGTGACCGCCATCCAGGCCAGGCGGGACCCAGCCTTCCCGCGAGGCGTGCGGGCGGCTGCCCCAGGGGCCCTGCATCTGCCACGCTTACACAGCAGGCAAGGGAGGCCCCCAAGAAGCTGCCCTACAAGCGATGGCCCAGGACACCGGCCCGAGGCCCCTGCTCCTCCCTGGTGGCAGTGCTGGCCAGGACTTGGGCGGGGGTGAGCCGCCCGCCGGTGGGGTTCCGCAGGCGTTTCCGGCCGCCATTTCACGCACCTTTGAGCCTCAAGAAAGTCAGAAACTCGATGATGGTGCGCGCGACGCTCTCGGGCGGGGCCCCGTCCCAGCTCCCTGCGGAGCAGGCAAGAGCACCCGTAAGCCCGCGGTCTCATGACGCTGCCCGGACCTGAGCCCAGGGGCCCAGGCTCACTCATGCAGCCTGGGGAGGGGGTTCCAGGCCCCACTCCGCCCGGGGCCTCCCTGCTGTCCGTGCTGCGGCCCTGTGGACAGCTGGAGCGGAGCCAGAGGGCTGCGGGCAAGGCGCGGGCCAGGTCAGGCTCAGGCTGTGGCTGGAGGGGAGGCGGGGTGCGGGTGCCCGGGCAGGGGCCTCCTCACCTGGCCTTAGCTGGTCCTCGGGCTGGAGCTCCCGCTTGCCAGCGAGGCCTTGCTTGTCATGGAAGGACCTGTGGTTGTCGATGGCGTCTGTCGGCAGATCAGAGGCAGGTGTCTGACCACTGCCAGCTCCCCCCCCCCCAAGCCCCAAGACGCACGCACATCTGCACTGCAAAATAAAGCCGGGGCCAGGCGCCAGGAGGGAGGGTGACCGGCCCGGCTGCACGTGCCAGGGCCACAGGCACACGGGCTGTTTGCAGCATCGGCGTGCACGTGCCCAGACTGCAGATGGGTGGGGCTGGAGAGAGGGGGCCGTGGAGGGGCAGCAAGTGGGAGAGGGCGAGGAGCCAGGTCTCCCGCTGCCTGCCCGCAGAACACTGGGATCTGACCGCACAGGGGCCAGGGGAGGGGCCGGCAGCCTGCAGCGCCCGGAGAGGTGCTCCCTGCACCCTCGTGCAGTCTCCCCACTGTCGGCCACCCCCCGGCCCCACTTAGGAGCCCAATGCAGGAGAGCCAGAAGAGGGGGCCCCGGGCTCTGTGACGTCCCCTCTGCGTGAGGACGTAACGGAGGGGCGACTCCCAGCACAGCAGGTGCCCACGGCTGCAGCCTGGCCAACCTCTCCCGGCAGAGGAGGCTAGGGACGCAGGAGGCGTGGGGTCGGGGGGTGCCCACCCGGCCTCCTCTTAGGTCAGCCACACCAGGGGGACGCCCCACCCTCAGCGTCCTGTTGAGGCCTCCCTCCCTGCTTAGGCATTAGCCATCCGACAGTGCCTCCATCCTCAGAGCAAGAGGGGTCCTCGCGGCGCCCGTGGGACTGGCCCGCGTAGGAGGGGGTGGGGACAGGTCTGAACAGGAAGAGAACCATCCCCGTGTAGTCTGGAGCCAGACAAGTGGGCCCGGCCACCTGCAGTGGGTCACATGTCAATTCCCACGTGCAGCTTGGAGCCGGGGACGAGGGCAGAGCCCAGAGGGCGCGCCTGTGCCGTGGGAGCCACCAGCGGCTGCGGAAGCCAGGGCCCAGGACGGGGCTGCAGAGCCTGGCGGGGGGGATGCCCAGGGTCAGGGCAGAGCAGGCACGGAAGAAGCCTCTGGAAGGAAGAGGTGCTGGGGTCACACGTGCAGAGCACTGTGGAGGCCTCTGGGGACCCCAGGGGAGGTTTCGGGGGGCAGGGTGGGACGGAGGCAGCTTCGGTGGAACCGGGGAGCCCGGCGAGACGCCCTCAAGGGCTGCCCAGCTGCAGGGTGGGGGACGAGAGTCAGGTGCACAAGGGATTGAGGTCCCAGAGGCCAGGCAGAGGGGGTCTGCAGGTCCCGCCTCCCTCCTGGGTGTCGCCCACCTGCTGGGAGGGAGGGTCAGGCAAAGGTGAGAGGCCGCCCAGGCTGGGAGGGACTGAAACTGCCTCCCACCCCACCCCCCGGGGCCTGCCCAGAGCTGGGACAGCAAGTGATGAGGGCTGGGTGGGCGGGGCCTTGGTCGCTCACGTGGGCCGAGCAGGTAGCCGGCGCTGTTCAGGGTCCAGCCTCTCTTCTCCTTTGCCTGGAAAGAGAGAGGAGGGGGTCAGAGGCCTGGGGGCGCAGCACAGGGACCGCCGCGGACGCGCGTGGGGGTCCACGGCCCCGGCCGCGGCTCCAGGGCGCCCCGCGCTGTCCAAGGCTGCGGGACCGCGGCTCACACCGCCCACCACGCCCCGCGCGCCCATCCCCGACTCACCGGCAGCGCGAGCGCCCGCGGGGCCGGCAGGGCGGCGGCGAGCAGGAGGCAGACGAGCAGCGGGGCGCCGGCCCGGGCCATCTGCGGAGGGAGGGCAGGGGCGTCGGGCCGGGCTCGGGGGCCGCGGGGGACGGCCGGGGCCGGGGCGGGGCGCGCACCTTGCGGGACTGTCCCGGGACGTCGCGGGGCGGGCGGGTCTGGCCGGGTCCGAGCGGGTCCGGGCTGGGTCCTGGCGTCCAGGCGGGTCCGGCAGGGCGCTCAGCGCATGGCGCGGCGGGTCGCCGAGAGGGCAGCGGGCAGCGGGCGGCCGGGCTCCCTCGACGTGTCCTGCAGGGCTGCCGCCGCCGCTATTTATCTGCGCCTCCCGGGGCCGCGCGGCCGCGTCACGGGGCCCAGCACCGCCCAGCGCCCCCACCAGCCCGGGGGCGGAGTGACCGGAACTCCATCCCTGCGGGCAGCGCCGGGGGCCTGTATTGTGGGGGGGCAAAGGCAGGCCCCCCACGTCCGCGATAGGGTCTTCCCGCGGGAGAGACCCCTTCCACCCCCGTGCGAGAGACCCCCCATCCCGCGGGAGAGACCCCCACCCCCATAGGAGAGACTCCCCCTATCCCGCGGAAGAGACCCCCTTCCCGCGACAGACCCCCACCCCCGGGGGAGAGAACCCCTACTCCCGCGGGAGAGACCCTCCACCCCCGCGGGAGAGACCCCCACCCCCATAGGAGACTCCCCCTATCCCGCGGAAGAGACCCCCATCCTGCGAGAGATCCGCACCCTCGCGGGAGAGACCCCCACCCCCGCGGGAGGGACCCGAGGGACCCGCCCATCCCGCGGGAGAGATCACCTTTCCCGCAGGAGAAACCCCCACCTCCGCGGGAGAGACCCACATCCCTATGGGAGAGACCCCCACCCCCGTAGAAGAGACCCCCCCTATCCCGCGAGAGACCCCCACCCTCGCGGGAGAGACCCTCCACCCCCGCGGGAGAGACCCACATCCCTATGGGAGAGACCCCAACCCCAGGGAGAGCCCCACCCCACTCCCGGCCCAGGTCATCGCCGCCCTCACCCCGCCTTGGCTCCTAGCCAGAGCCCCCAGCCCCACCAGCCGGCCTGAGGGGAAGGCGTGCAGAGGAGGGACACGACCACAAGAGGGCAGCCGCGGTTAGGGACCACCGCAGTCCCGGCTAGGCCCAGTGGGGGGGCCTGCGCTCCACCGGCCCTGGAGGGAGCCCCGAGCCCAGCTGAAGGGGCGGCAGCGGGGGTCTCTTGGCCACAGCGGTGGGTCCTCACTGCTGCAGTCCAGCTGGGACTCCCAGAGGCTGGCGGGGGCAGGGGCGGGCTGGCAGGTGCAGACCCCCACACAGGGGCAACCCCCCCCGCCCTCCCACCCCCAGTCCCGGGGACAGCACAGCCCAGGGCACCACCCACATTGCCCGTCATTCATCCAGAGCTCCCAGCAGGAGGTCTCGGCCGCTGCACCCCCTGAGCTGAGCTCCAATCGGTGATGTCACTGGGCACCCGGGGTGGACAGCACAGGGCCACTGATGGCCGCTGAGGCCATCACCACGTCTCCCACATTCCATTCCCAAGAGCCTTTGCGCAGCCCACCAAGGGGGGGCAAGGGAGAGCCGTGGGCTCCCAATGGGACGGGGAAGGACCCCTGGGACACTCGGGGACCTGGCCACGGCCAGCTGGCAGCCAGGGAGAACAGGCGCTGGGGCCGACGCCTGCTCTGGCTTGTGGGTGGGGTGCTGGGGGTGACCGGGCCTAGGGAGGGGTCTTGGACCAGACTTGGCCATCCTGGGGTGAGGGTGAGGGTGTCCCACGTGCAGCCTGCGGTGGGAGCGAGAGGGAGGGAGAGGCTGTGGCCCTGGCAGGCTTGAACCGTGGAGGCCAGAGGGACATCACCAGCGGGGCAGGGGGCAGGGGCGGTGTCCGCGGCCTTGTCCACCGGGGCTACCTTTGAAATGCCACGACCTTGGTAATGCCACAGTGCGCCCTGGCCAGCGTCGGCCCCACCATGTGCCCCTCCCCCAAGCCGGGCTGACCATGAACCCATGAATCCCCAGAGGGGCTGGAAGGCGGGGCCCTGGGCAGTGGGCGGGGTCACAAGGCTCCCATGGGGTCCAGGGCCAGCAGGTGCAGGGAGCCCAGCTGCTCTCCCTCAGCCTCCCAGGAAAATCCGGCCACAAGCAGGCCAGGGCCGAACGCTGCGGCTTGGCCTCCACTCTGGGAGGTGAGCGGTGCCGGCCCCCAAGCATTTCTGGGCAGCAGGGCCCCACCTTCCATGGGTGCACAGAGGCGGGCCGGGCCATGACTGACAGGGGAGCCAGACAGAGCACAGGGCCTGGGTGGGCGTGGGCTGGCCACTGAGACCCCAGCTGGGACGCCCGCACCCCAAATCAGGAGCCCAAACCCAGCTCCCTGCCGCAAGTACTTGGGTCCCTGCCCCCTCCTGGCTCCCGGCTCCTGGCTGCTGCCTACCCCAGCCCTGGCTGTTGCAAGCATTTGGGGCAAACCAGCAGTGGGAGCCCCCCGTCTCTGTCTCTCTCTGTCTCTGTCTCTCTGTCTCTCTCCCTCTCTCCCCCTGTCTGTCTCACTGCCTCACAAAATAAATACACAAATACAAGTTTAAACAAGAACCCAGTCTGGCCATGTTCCCCCGCGTGTCTCCGTGAGTAACTGCGTGATGGAGCCACCTGAGGCGCTGTGTCCGCTGAGCAGAGACCCATCCTCCAGGGAACACGCCGGCTGCTCGGGGCGACCCACCCCCAGCCAGCACCGCTCCCTGAGCCTGGGCAACCGGACGCCAGATCCCGGAGCCGGCGGGCACTCAGGACCTGCGATGACCCCCGACAGACAAACCAGGACAGCCCAGCCGGGGCGCCCGCACCTGCTTCCTGGCTCCAGCTGTGCTGGAACCCACAGCCAGGCCACTAATGGGCTCCTCGCCCGGCAGCGACCCGAGGGGAGTGGCTGTCAACCGTGATCGCCGAGACAGCCCAGTGTGTGGCCGGCAAAATGGCCCAGCATTACCGTAATGGACGGCCAGCAGAGAGCCTTGGCCCACCCGGCCCCACGCGCTGCCCAGCTCCGCTCCGGAGCTCCTACAGCCAGGGTGCCTCGCCCCGCGGGAGCTCCTCCTCACATCCCCGGCCATGAAATTAGCGCCTGGTAGGATGGGCACCCAGTGGAGACACACACACACATGCACACACACACATGCACACAGGCACGCACGCACGCACACACACGCAGGTGCACACAGCTATCCCCGGCTATCCCAAAGGGAGGAGGATGGACTCAGGCTTGGCTGGGGGAACCGCGGGGCCCAGCACACGCCCAGTGCGGGGTGGTCACGCTGGGAGGCCCCCTGTTCCGTCCATTTCCCTTCCTTCCTGCTGCCTGGAACATGGACGTGAGGGCTGGAAGTGAGCAACTGCCCTGGGCCACCAGGTGACGGCTGCTGGGGACAGAGGCACGGAGTCACCCCACAGGTGCTCATGCCCTTGACGTGATGTCCGGCTGGCTGTGCCCCAAGAGCCCCCTGCTCCAGTCCCCCATGCACAGGGCCAGCTCGGAGCCCTGTCAGCGGGTCTGCGAGGCCAGGTGGTCGTCCTTACTCGGATTTGTGAAATGCATTTAGACGGAACTTGCAGAACCTGGGCCCTCTCCCCACACCGTCTTCTGTCCCCCAAACCACCCGCTCCGCCCCTCCGCTGCCCGGCTCTGAGTCCACCTCTGTCCCCCCGTCTGCACTTCCCGGGGTCCTGCCGGGCACCTGCCTGGCCAGGGGCGGGGATCCACCAGTTGGCGGTTTCTGGAAGTTGGCAGGGCTGGCCTTGCCTGATGGCTGGGGCGGATGGCCTGCGGCGGGGAGAGCCGGGGGGCGCGGGCCAGTGACTCAGCTGCAGGCCTGGGCAGAGGCACCTGTTTCCTGGCCCCCAGCAGGAGCGGTGGCAGCACCCACAGGCCATATGGGAGTCCATCTGGCGAGGGACCTGGGGCCGTGGGAGGCGGGTGGCAGCGCAGGGGACCCAGTCATCACCAAGGAGTGTGGCCTGCAGCCAGGTGCTCCCAGATGCCCCCGCTGGAGGTGTGACCCACCCACACCCTGCTCCTCCGCTTAACCGGAAGCCTTTTGGTCGCCGACCCCGGCTTGGGGGTCGGGGGGGGCTTCAGCTTCCGCCCGGCCCAGCTGGTGAACCCAGTGGTCTCCACTGCCGGACAGGAGCTCTGCCCAGCTGAGCCTGCCCCCCATGACCAAGTGGCTGCTGCCTCTTCCCAGGTCCTGCCCTGCGGGGGCAGGTCAGCCTCCACCCTGCCCAGCCGGCCCCGGGAGCTCGCCGGCCAGTGGTGCCATGGGTATGGGCTGACGGATGGACCCAGGAAACCAACCCGGAAAACACCGGCTCCAGACCCCCGTCGGCCTTCCGAGCCGCGCGTCCTCACTGGCTGGCTCCCGCCTCCAGGGAGGTGGGCGACAGGTCAGCCAGCGCAGGGCTCTGTGTGCCACTGGCACTGTCCAGAATCTTCCAGATGCCAGGCTGGGTGGGGGAGGGATGCAGCTAGGAAAGGCCTTGCCCCGCCCCCTGCCCTTGGTGAATGACAGGAGGATGGACAGACAGAGGGAGATCTCCGGTCCACTGCTTTGTTCCTCGAACCCCAGCGGGGCTAAGCCAGGACCTGGGGGTTCCCTGGCGGCCTCCCGCGTGGATGGCAGGGACCCCAGGACTTGAGCCATCGGCCTGCTCCCTCCAGCGTGTGCAGGAAGCTGGATCGGAAATGGTGCTGGGACTTGAACCCAGCACTCTGACGCGGGTGCCAGCGTCTCAACCTCCCTCTGGCTGCAGACATCATTGCTGCGTGGAACACGGGCCATGGAGCGGCCACCTGCTGAGGGCCACGTGGGTCCCCGTCTCAGCAGTCACCCGCCTGCCCCCGCCCTGCGCGGTGTGCTCCCAGGACTGCACTCACGTTCCCGCATTCTGTCCATCCGGGCGGTTCTGAATCCTGCGCTGGACCCTGAGGCCGTGCCCTCCCCTTCGCCCCCAGCCTCGGGCCTCCCTCCGCCTGCCACCTGGCGGCGCTGTTTCCAGGGGCAACGCAACTCCACGGTTTGGCACCTGCTGTCTTCCCTGCCCATCTCCCCGCAGCGGGGACCGGGTCTGCTCCACGCTTCCGTGACGGCTCATACAGCTGTGCCCCGACCCATGTGGGAGACCTGGTGGACTCCTGGCTCCCAGCTCCAGCCTGGGCCAGCCCCGGCTGTTGGAGGCCATTTGGGGAGTGACCCAGCGGATGGAAGACCTCTCTCTCT